CTTGTGCAAGGTACAGGCTACATTATAACGCAGCAACGAGGTTAGCTCGACGTGAAGCGGCCTGAAGCGATCGAGTCACAGTTGAGAACAAGGATTTGACGGATCACTTTTCGGGAGCGACGGGTAACGGAGGGAGGTGTCTAGGAACAGCCTCAACGGAGCCAGCTGAGTCGTCTCATTGGTCGGCCCTACCTTGGGGGTAAGACGGGAGTGGACAGAGAGGGTCGCCGAACTGACGACCAGTCTTGGGCCAGTTGCTCACGGATTTGCCCTTGACTACTGTATTCTAAGGCCTGGGCGCCCGTCACAATTCGTCTTGACTCCACCTGAAACGGTCACACAACGGGCCCGTGTCTGATAATACGGTAGCCGTACCGTCATCGCTTCGACCTTTGCGTACGCAGTAGAAGACTTCACTTACGAGCAGAGTCTCGGGTGCCGCGTCGCAGTCGATGTTCGAAGACCTTCTTCTCCCCTCACTTCTCCGTCCCTGCAGACGCTCGCGCGTATGCTTTGACTGCATCATTAGTCCTGCAGGGAAATGGCTCATCTTCATAGTTCCAACGCCAACCACTTTCCACAGACATCCACAAATAAGCTCGGATCGCAAGGAATTGGACGATGTGCTGGCAGGCTGGCTGGCCCAGACTATGGAGGGTGCATGGTTCTTACACCAAGTAAGCCGGGGTAGGGGGGAGGAAAACATTATCATCCCTGTAGCTAACGGCTGAGGAGAGGGAAGGGCAACCGACTTTTTCGGAGTATCGGCGGGATGTGTGGCTCCTCCACCACTGAGAGTTGCAGGACTCCGAGTCCGGTGATTGCAAATGTGCAGGAAAAGAAACTGTTGATGCCAATTTGCCACTCGTATGCGGATTGGGCTACAGTGTGGTGGGAGTGGTGTACTTGCCCGAGAGGCGAGTACGCTCTGCCCTCACCGGCGGAGGCTCGTGGGTTTTCGAGTCGATGTGTGTACGAAAAGGGCGATGGGGAGCCGTGATAGTGATGAGAAAGTCAATGGCCGCATCACAGAAGGCCAGCCCCACGACACGTCATGAACGCGTTCAAGCATGAGCTTGCTAGAGTATGCGACCGAGCTGCAGAACGGACGGCTGGTGGGGTCCACGAGGGAGCAAACCCGATGGGCGTTCGATGACATTTCGGGGACTACCCAGAGGCAGAGGTTGAGAAGTAACAGCGAAGTATGAGCAGCTTTGGCCGGCTTGGCCAGCTTCTTCTCGGCTGATAGTCTTGGGTAGCCTGCTCGGTAAGACGATAATCATGGTCCGGTGTTTCTTGCACAAGGCTCAAGCTCAGACCGAAGAGCGTCTTGCTCCAATCGTTTAGCGAGCGTCAAGTGAAAGCGAGACCGGTGAACAGCTTCGCTAGAAACTGGAGTCTCTAACCGAAATCCGGGGCTCCATCTTGATGGTTGCACCTGATTCTTTGGCCGGATCGGGGACCTAGCTGCTCATGGTTGCTGTTAGCCGTCAGTTCACATATCGAGATTCGGCACAGTCCGCCGTCGTTTGAGAGATGTCTGTCTACTTGACACACAGTGACCGATAGGGGAAGCCCACTGGATGCCTTTGACACTCAAACCACCCTAACGAGTAACGGCAGGTGAGGCTGTCGTCCTCTGCTCCCCTGTTGCTTTCCCCTTGCCCACTGTTGGCTTGGCCCCCAGATCTCTCCCCCTGAGGCCTGAACCCTTGCCTGCCTTTAGCGGCCCCCAGGCCTCCTGTAAGCCACCGGGATCCCTGCGCTGGACGGGATGAACCAATGTTTTTGCACGGCCGAAACGGTTTGAAACTGAGTGGCCTTGGATCAGGCTGGAGCAGCTAGAGAGCTCCTCACTCTGACCTCCTTTCCCGGCCAAACTTTCAAGAAGGCTAGAGAAGGACAGAGACAAGACGGGCAAGAGAGGGGGCGTAAAAAAGGAGGGCATTGGACGCCTTGTCGACTTACACGGTGACAGCAAGCCAATGAGCGACAGGGGACTCTTGTTCAGATGCGGCAAGGCCCCATGTCCAACGTCACATCCGAGATAGCCGTACGTTGAAGTTGTTTCTAGTGTACACTAAGCCAGGGTCGGGGGTCCTGGAATTGGGGGTTGTGATTCGCAGCGCGCTTAACCGTCCAAGACGTGCCATTCAGCGAGACTGGAGCACAGGAGATGGGTCCATCATGGATTTGACGAGGCCCGCGTCATTATCCAGAACGAGCATAGCATGGATCGCTCATCAGGGGCCTAATTGAGCAGGTTGTGACTCGGTAAGAGGTGGTATGCAGAATGGAGAGAGTGGAAAAGTAAAAGGGCGGTGGTATTGGTGAGTTGAGGATGATGATGATGCGTTGGGCGACGTGGGATATGCTCAACAGAATTTGACGTTCAATTTGACGAAGTGGCCCATGTATGGTGGTGGGTGGTGATCAAGCCGAGACGAGGAGGTGAATTGGATTTGGATGATGTTCCAGGGGCAGTCAAGGGAAGTGCCCACTTGAGGCCACTGCAGCCTGTGCACACAAAAATGATGATCTGACGGGAATGGGTCAGAGGCGGCTCCTTCCGAGTCCTGTCTCACGACTGAAATGGAAAGGAAAGAGCAAAAGACCCTGTCCTCGACTGAGCCTGGGTACACTAGTGGTTCATTGCCGCGCGGAAGAGGAAACGGCGGCAGACGGTGAAGGGGGGAGGAAACCGTCGCGCTTTCCATCCCAGTAGTGTACAACGCGGCCTGGCAAGCGGCCATTGGTGAAACCGAGGGTATGCACAGACTCTTGTAAGGTCTGTGCAGTGTGCAGTGTCCGCGCTGCTTCCTCCCCCGTTCACAGTGAGCCAATCATCATCCAGGGTACAGTATGTCATGCTTCCCGCACCTGCCCTGTCGCTCTTCTGCCTGACCTCACTCCTTCCCATCGACCATCGAATCGACCCTTCATCGGCCACTTCCACCACCTTGTCAATTCACTGCAGTTCATTCAGTTTTGTCGAGCCTCACCACCATTTCCCCATTGCTCGCTTCGTTTGAACTTTTCAACTCAGTTGCTTTGACTCTTCCACTCCCGTCTTGTCTGGTCCAAATCAGCGGCCTGCAGACCTGCCCCACCATTCCGCGTCTCGGCTTGGACTCGATCCGAGAGAACAAAGTGCAGTGGTGACGTTGTCGCGCGCGGCCATCACTTGGCTCATCTTGATTCATCACCTTGATCACTCACCCTCCAAACTGGAGACACACTCATCATGTCGGCCATGATACCGTGATTTCAGCAACCCTCGTCAATTTACAAACTCACCGTGCCAAAGAACATCTCGATTACCGTCCTATACGCGACCACTTCCACCACCATAATCCAAACAATATCTCAAACACATTCCATTATCAAAGTACGGTGCCGTTTTTCGGCCTCCTGGTCCATCCATCTCCCCGTTCTGTTCACTTGGCACGCTTCGGTCCTCCTGTCATGTAACATCTCGTCATTGCGACCGCCGGCTTGACTCGATCGAGACCTGAGTCCTGCTCACATGAACAGCCCCCAACAAGATATCGTGCAGTGATACCTCGGTGATTTCTGCAAGCTACTGTACTCCATCAGGCCAAGAATCCTCCTCCTCGTCTTCTTTATCTTCTTGGTCGGCGATTCCCAGCCACCAGCTCGGCCAGGAGTACATCCGAAGGCCAATCTAGCAGACCACATCAGCCTAGCTGTATCGTCTTCTAACGCCTTCTTGATTAGGCGCACCGCGGACTCACGGATTCATACCAGACGTCACCGCTCTCCGCTTTTCTGTCGGAAAACTACCCAGCGTCCCGCGATTGGCAGCCGCGGCAAGAATAACGAACGGGAGAGGAGACGTATCTGAGCAAAAACACGCTCTTGATTCGACATTGACGCGGTTCTGGGCTCCTGGAATTATTTGTCTCGCTTCCTCTCTCCAGCCCCGCTATCAAAAGTTTCTATTTGCATGTTAACTGAGGTAAATCAGAGTGGACACCAGACGAACTCGGGGAAATAACTCGAGGCCAGACTAGGCTAGCACGACTGGTCGGTCCGTCGGACTCGCTGATCACGAAAACATCAGACGCACGTCGCCGGATTGAGCAGGAAAGCCCTTGCCTATGGCGCCATTGCCGCTCCAGTCAGGGGCCGGCCAGCGGCAGATCTGGTCCTGGCCCACCGTTGAAAAAGGGAGGGATGAGGAGCAACTCGAGAAAAGTACCCGTGTGCATTTTGCCAGCCAGACAAGTCAAATGATACTGCTCTCTTCGGGAAGCACTCCACTTCCTGTGATGGAGAGGTCTGAAGGATCTTCAAGGGAGTGGGATGGCATGGCAACAGGAGGGGTGAACAATATCCTTACTGATATCCGTCCCGACACACGTGCTATCGTGAGATTCAGTGAGCACCGGAAAGAGTCCGACACGAATTTTGAGAAGACTGGACCTCACGTGCAACTGACGGAACTACCAAACGAAGTATTGTACGAGATTCTGAGCCATCTAGACGTCTGCGATTTGTTCTCGACATCTAAAGTGAGTTTCACTTTTCTTAGGTACAATCTATACGTCTGTCCTCTTCTCCCTTTTTGTCCTTGGTGACGAGAACTCTTCTTTCTTTCCTCGTCACCGTGCCGTAAATCATTCTAGCGACCTCACATCTTGCCCTGATTACACACCATGTACACTTGCCAATCACATCACATCCATTTTCCACGTTTCTTAGCCACTTTGACCATGATGCTACACCTCTCTTGCACCTCCACCCAGAGAAGAACCGTCAAATCTTTATCCCGTACAATTCCGTCTCTTTTCTGCCTCTTCATGACTACGAAGCAAGAAACAGGGTACTAACAAAACATCCCCCAGACCTCTCACCACCTCCGCACCCTCTCCACCTCCCCCACCTTACACACCCTCCGCCTCCGCCGCGCCCGCCTCCTCCTTCCTCTATCCCTCACCTCCCCTAGCCGCCCTTCCCTCGCTGACCTGATCCGGCGCTCCATCTTTCTTACCAACACCGCCCTGATGTCCCGTAAGCTCGCACGCAAGCTAGCCTCCATCCACCTCGCCCGCCGTCTCGCCGCCCGTCCCTCGGCCGAGCAGCTGGTGGAACGCTGTGTGTTGCCGGCTGAGTGCGTTCCTTGTGGGACCAGAAAGACAGTAATGGTTGCGCCGGCGCTGGTAGCCAAGAAGAGAGCGGTGGAGAGGGAGAGGGTGAAGGATGGGTTGAGGGGGTGGATTGGCGAGGTGTGGATGGGTAGAGTGAAGGAGAGGGAGGGTAAGGTGAGAAAGGAGGAGGAGGAGACCGGGGTGGGGAGGGTTTGGAGGTTGAGAAGGTTTTGGGAGGGGGTTAGTCGAGGGAGAGTTTAGGGGTGTAGGAGGCAGGATAAGGGATGGGGATGGTTTTTTTTTGGTTTCAGTGAGCATGGCGAATAACGGATGAGTGCGTGAGTGACTGTAGACAAAGGCGTTGGATAAGTTTGTCACGATGTAAATGAGGGAGGTCTTGTTGCTTGGTTTCGGTTTGGCGTCTTCTTATCTTTCACTTGTTGATCTGCTGTTAGTCAGTTAGTTGCGATTTACCATATGCTGGACATATCAAGGCGCAAGTTTCTGTTTGAGTATAGATATCATTAGTTCAAACAGTCAATAGTTAAAACAACAATCACAGCGATGTCTTTATGGATTCCTCATAATTCAGTCCGCAGGTATATGGTGCCTCAGCTCACATCTCAGTGTCCTCAGAACAGATCAGTTGGAGCAGTAATATCGTAGATAGGTACTGTAGGCAACACATCCACCATTTGACCGATCGACTGACATCCCTTACTCATCTATAGCTGAGCTGAGCCAGCCCTCATGTGAATACCAAAAACCTCGTTCCTTCCATTCTTAACTCGACCATGTCATTTATCCATTTCTCCATTTTCTTTCACTCAGGCAACCAAATGCAAATATTTCGGCGACTTGCACTCCTCATCAATCAAGCAATCAAAGAGGTACTGCAGTGATCGTGGCCCAACTTCTTTCCACCTCCTGAGTATAAGTACCGAGGCTGAACCTCATCTCTCCTCCATCTTGGCATTTACTTCTTCTCCTCCTTGTTACCCTCCTCGACCTTAGTCTCCTCAATCTTCTTCTCCTCAGCTACAGCGGTAGTGGCAGACTCAGCGGCAGCGGCAGGCTGGGCAGGCTCAGTGGCGGTGGCGGTGGCAGCGGTGGTGGTCTCCTCGATGACAGTGGTGGTAGTGGTGGCTGTGGTTCCAGCGGGGGAGACGGTGGTCTCCTTGGTTTGCTCGCAGGCAATGGTAGTGGTGGGGGTTTGGCCGGGCATTTTCTTTTGTTTTTAGGTGGTGGTTCTTTTGGATGGTTGGGAGGTGATGATTTGTGGTTGAAATGTGATTTTTGGGGGGAGTTTGGATTGTTGGTATAGTTGGAAAGTGTGGAAAGTGGTTTTGATGTGATGATGGAGAATTTGAAAGTTTCTGGGGGAAAGAGTAGGGAGTTCGGTTCTTATATACCCTCTCGATCATCGATTCAATGCCCGCCTGAGGGACTGAGTGTTTGAGCGAACAAACGAAGTGCGTTTGCTGAGATGACTCTCCATGGTTGGAGATATGATGGTGTGTCATCTCATCTCAGTTCCTTTCCTTTGTGCTTGAGGTGATACCGTTGTGGGCAATAAGTGCTACCATTTCAAAGGATTCAAGGCAGTTTGCTACCAACGTCTCTGTCCTCATCATGCAAGGTTTCGCCGTTGGATTTGAAGACTTGAAGTGGAGGAACAAGTGTTTGTCAGTCTGGGGCCGGATGACAGTTTGAGTTCAGGTAAACAGAGGCACTTGTTGATGGCTTGGCCTTTGCGAAGTCGTGCTCATCCATCCCGTGTTCGAATTGGTCGTTGGAAGCCTACCAAAGTGTTTGCGCTCTAGTCTGACATCTTGACGTTGGTTCACAATCCCCAATCTTCTCAGCCGCGGGTTTGTTTTTCATTTCGTAATCGATGCGGATCACCGGGGTCCAAACTTACTCCTGAGAACAGCCACGTAGAGGTACCTGCCTACCTAAGTGGTATTCCCGTAGCAAGAACCGAAGATAATCGAGAACAACGATGCCCACCCGAACTTCCCTCATTACCATTGCCGGCAACTATAAGCACCTACGCTCGGAACCGGAACCCATCCCAATCGTCCTCATCGTCCTCGTCATCTTCGTCCTCCTCATCCTCCTCCACCACCACCTTCCCCTTTGTCGTCCCTGCAGCATTCTCCTTCCCCAACGCCGCCAAAACAGCAGCAGCAGCAGCACTCTTCGTCTTTGCCACACCCTCACCAACATCATCCTTATCCCCTCCTCCCATCGGCGTATCTATCATCCCTTCCCCTTGTCCCACCCCTGCCCCCGTCTCCGCACCTTGCCCAGCACCGCCCAACTTCCTTCCAGCCCTCAACGCCTCCCTCCTCTCCCTCAACCTCCTCGCCCTAGCCTCCAACTCCTCCATAACCTCAAACTCGGTCTCCAACGCCCTCGTGGCCTCTTCGCGCTCGTCTTCAATCTCCATGTCCTTAGCCGCTCGGCGGAGGGATTGCTCTTCGTCATGAGACTTGGCGGCTGCTGCTTGTGCTGCTGAGACGGGTGCAGCTGAGATGACGGCCTCTCCTCCTGTTAGGGCGGCGGCTGCGGGAGGTTTATTGCTGGGGGTAGCGAGGAGATCGGCTTCGAAGGAGGCCCAAAGGTCATCGTCGACTGCTGGTGCTTGTGGTGCTTGTGGGGCGTCTGCTGAGGTTGGGGTTGGGGCAGAGGTGGTAGTGAAAGTTGACTGAGAAGTTGATGGCTGCGATTTTTGTTGTTCGGATAATTGTGAAAAGGGGCGTAGTGGTCCTCCGGCTGATTTGGGCGTTGTGGTGGCATCTGCTGGCGTTGCTGGCCGCGAAGGGATAGCGAGCTCGATGCCGGCTGTTGGCGTGAATGACTGCTGCCGGGTCAGCGTTGGTGGCTTGGTGACCTCGGCTGGGTTGGAGGTTGGCGGTGCCGGTCCTGGTTCGGGGGATAGAGTATTGGGGCGGGTGCGCTTGGATGCGCGGTCGGTCTCGTCTGTAGAAACGGGGGTGGTGGCTTCGTCGTCATCTTGAAAGTCGAATTTGCGTTTGTGAGATTGATCAGTTGATTCATCTTGCGCTTCAGTCTGTTGCTGTTGCTGCTGTTGGAGTGCTTGTAGACGTTGACGATGAGCGGTGTTGCGGATGTGGCCATCCCAAAGAGCTTCGGTCTTGATGTGTTCCCGACAGAGGACGCAGACGAGCTTTCCGGCGTCGGTGTAGGCAGCGTGTGGGTGTTCTATTCTGCGCGCGGCACGCTGCTGGCGTAAGAGGGCGCGTACGTCGGCCATCGTTTATGTATTCTTGGGTGAGACGAGGATGGCAGTCTGAGAGCAGCGCAAAGTGACCCGGAGAGGTGAGAGTGAGGCGAAAGCAGTGGTGAGTGTTTCGAGATCTGAAATGTAGATGACCCCCCGAGACCAATCAAGACGTGTGGTATTATGTTGCCGGTAGAGGTTCAGTTGCTCAATGTTTAGACGCGAGCCAAGAATGTGAAGTCGTCAGACTGCTGTCGTGAAACTGATGAGCGAATCGCGACTCGATGCGGTTGAGGCTGCGACGTCAATGTTTCTTGTGGAGTTACCCTAAGCTTTTAAGACAAGCAAGGGTACAAGGTACCTCAAGCTGGCGCCAGGGGGAGCTCCAAGTGTGGAGAGCTCTCATCGATTGCCGCGACTTTGCCGCGTCTGCTGCCTTGCGACCATTCGTCTTCCCGGCAACGTCACTTGCAAGTCAATAACGCAAGGGAACAACTGCTTTCGTATCGCAATTGCAACTCATCTCAATCGCATACAGACACCAGATCTTTGTACGTGTCTAAAACGCCAGGACAACACACCAACCTCATAATACCAGGCATATTACCAAAGTAGCACTGCGCACCGCCTTCGCGACCTTGCGCCAAACACCACTCGCCCTCCATTGCAGACCATCATGGCCGACACCGAGGACGACAACTCGGCCCTTGCCTCCTTCTTCCCCGACCCTCCTCTCTTCTGGAAGGCCTTCACCCCGTCCAACCTCCAAGCCTACGCCGACATTAAACAGCAATATGCCTCCCAGCACGGCATTCCCGTCGAGGACGTTGTCCGCGTCCCAGATCTCCCTGCCGATTCAGACCTCATATACCTCCAACCACCAGCCGAGCCCAAGGATGGGACATGGCGACTATACGGCGAACCTCAGTCTGTAGGTCTTGCCTATTCCCACTCCTCTCCAATCATATACATGGTAACTAACCCCCCCCAAAGCTAGAAGAATCCCTCCAACCCCTCGAATCAGCCGGCATCGAACGTCTCGGCCCTCCCCTTCCGGGCTCAACCACCACATCCGACTCCCAAACCATCACCCAATCCACCAACACCACCACCACCGACAGCCAAGCAACAACAACCGACGACACCCAACCCACCTCCGCCTTCCCCTCCCAACAACCCACCTCCCAACTCCCTCTCCCTCCTTCCGCTTCCACCTCAGCCCCCGGTGGTGCCCCCTCAACCCAAACCCACGACACCCTCCACCTCCACCTCAAACGCCTCTCCAAGTCCCTCCTCCTCAACTTCCTCGAGCTTTTGGGAATCATGTCCCTCGACCCCGCCGCCGGCTCCCAAAAGGCCGCCGACCTACGCACTTTGTTTCTAAACTTCCACCACGTGCTAAACGAGTATCGCCCGCATCAGGCTCGTGAGCAATTGATTCAGTTGATGCAGGAGCGATTGGATCAGACGCGGGCGGAGACGGCTGCGAATCGGGCGGTGGCGGAGAAAGCACGGAGGGTGTTGGAGGGGTTGGGGAGTGTGGAGATTCCGGCTGTTGATGTTAATGTTGCTGGGACTGGGACAGGTGGAGGGGAGGGGGATGGGGGGTATGGGTCAGTACCGGTACCAGTACCAGTACCGGTGGGTGCGAGGACAGGGACGACGGTGGGAGATAGGCGGGTGGGTGTTGATGGGGAGGGGGCGGAGGAGGAGGAGAAGAGGTATTGGGAGCGGGAGGGGATGGGGTGGGGGGTTTTGGATGCTGAGTTTGCTTAGTCTCAGGGGGGAGGATGTGGATGTGGATGTTTGGGTTGGGTTTGGATTCTGGAAAAAAAATTGAGCATGGCGTGTTTTGTTTTTTATGTTTGTTGCTGTTGTGCGTATACCCCGAGAGAAGAAGACCATTTGGTCATGGAAAAGCTATGAGAGAGCGAATGCCAGCAATGGATAGAGTTCAAGATCATGGAACCCTATACCTCAGTTCGTGAAGTGTAAGAAATGCCTTCTCTACTCGTACATTTCAGTAGGGCACCAAATGTAGGAACATCTCATTGAACAGTGGATCAACTCGCAAATCACAAGAGCACAAAGTATTCCCTCCGCAAACCGGCACAAGAAAATCGCTAGATTCAATCTCCATTTTCTATCTTGAACTGGCGCGACAAGTTACCATAGCTATGACATGAACAGTTTGCAATCAGTTACCTAAACATGAGCAAAGAAACCGAGAGAGGTCCGACCTTGATCGTTTCCTTTTTCCTCCTCCATTTCAGAGTCAACACCACTACTGCAGACTAGAATAGACAGGATAGATACTCCGTGAGTGAGTGAGAGGACCTCCGTAGAGTTAGTTAACAGACCAACTCCACTTCAAGCGCCATAGTTACTACAAGAACAATTTGTGACCAGCAATAAATATCGAGCAAGAAAGTGACTGACTTGAAAACCAAGGGGACCAAAACGGACATGTCACGATCCCTGATTAACTCCTCCCCCTCCCCTAGTAGCCGTAAATAACCTAAATACGCCCCTCCAAAACCAGAACCACAAAAAGACCCCCCCTTATTTTCACTCTCTTTCAAAAGAACTTGAACACAAACTTTCCTTTTTATGTCCCTTTTTTCCTTTCTTCCTCCTTTTCCCTTCGCTAACTGCTTCCAACAGGTAAACATACCTCTACCATGTAACATTTTCTTACTGCCCTTTCCTACACGACAACTCCATCTCTAATACCTATCCTCCTTTCCTTACAACAGACTAAGACGAACTTCCACCCTTCCGAATCTCAAGAAACCAACTGACTTCAACCCCACTAACCGCGCGGCTTCTAATCAGACTCAACATCCCACCCCTCCTTCACGTCCTTTGCCTGATTCTTCTTCTTCTTCGTCTGCTTCTCCACCGGCTGCAAACACAACAACCTCCTTCTCCTCGGCGTCGGTCTACTGGCCGGTGTCGCTTGGTTCGCACCCGTTGATGCTGAGCCCAAGACAGATGATCGAATAGATGACGCAACCGAATTGGCCGAGGGAGATTGATGTCTGCTTCCGCCTGCTATGCTACTTCCACCGCCACCACCACCACCGAAACCACCTAATATGCTACCGGCTGCACTGCTGGCTGCAGTACTACTTCTTCTTCTTCTTCGATGATCAACTACCGGACTAGCGGCAACCAACGGACTCCGCGGCGAAGGGTTTGTTGTATGAGAATGATGATGAGGGGGGAAATGAGGACGACGGTCGAGATGATCATCGAGATCGGTATCAAGCGATGGCAGCGCCGGCTTGTTTGTTGAGGCCGATGTCGTCGTTGCCACTTTTGATCTTGACGCTCCTGATCCTGTTCCAGTTCCTAAAATTGAACCCCTCTCCCCCTCCTCCCTTCGCGGTGTGCTCGGCGTTGGTTTCTTGTCACTTTGCTTTGTCGCTGCTGCAGGCCTCGTACTATTGCTACTACTACTATTCCTGACCGCTGCTGCTGAGTCCGGGTGGTTTGTCCGCTGTCCGTCGCCCCTCTAGGCGGAAGGAGGACCGGTTGCTGCTGTGGCAGCCTGGGGAGGAATCGGCGGAGGCGGAATGGGCGTTTGCTTAATGGGGCCACCCGAGCCAGAAGTTACCGGTGGGATGGGCGGGGGAGGAATAGGAGTGGTTCGCACCGGCGGGGTGAAGTGTTGTTGGTGGTGCTGTGGATGAGCTTGCTGAGGCTGGGCCTGTGGGTGAGGTTGCGCGTGCTGCGGTTGCGGTGGTTGATGCTGCTGATGTTGAGGTGGTTGAGGATGATGAGAGGCCGGTTGGGACGGGTAGGCCGCTTGCGGCTGTTGAGCAGAGGACTGGTGCTGCGGTTGATGCTGAGGAGTATGCTGAGGTGGATGCTGAGCTTGATGTTTTGGTGGGTGTTGCTGTTGCTGCTGCTGTTGTTGATGATGCTGTGACTGGTGCTGGGGCTGATGATGGGGTGGGTGATGAGCTTGATGTTGCTGTTGATGCTGAGGCTGAGGCTGAAAATGAGCCTGATTGTGTGGTTGATGTTGGGGCGGATGCTGCGGCAGATGCTGCTGCTGCTGCTGCTGCTGCTGCTGCTGCTGAACCTGATGCTGTGGATGTTGTTGGTGGTGAGGCTGATGATGCATCTGTTGTTGTTGATTCTGGTGCTGTTGATGGACCGGATGCTGCTGGGATTGCTGCTGAGCTTGAGCAGCCTTGGCCTGCGCATTTGTACTTTCCCTCTCCAAAACATTGCTAAGGTAAGGGAGGTCATCGCGAGCCTTAGGATCCCGCTCGTAGATTTTCTTGATCACTTCCCATTCCTTCCGGGACATCTTGTGGGCCTGAGGCAACAGAAAGGCAACGGTCGGGCTGGTGATGAGAGAGCCGAGTACTTCTCTAGCAATGGCCTCTCCTTGTTTCTGCACTTGATCCACGGCGGGATGCTGCATTTGGCTCACTGAATGCTGGGCTGGCGGTGTTGGCTGCGGTTGCTGCTGCGGTGGCACTTGGGAAGGGGTGCTACTGTGCCTAGGAGTTGGGTAATTGGGGAATGTGCTCTGTGGAGATGTTGGTGAGAAAGCGGGCGTCGAGAGCGAAGGTCGATGGCCCGGAGGAAGGTTCGCCAGCGCTGGCGATGATGGCGCCGGTGTATTGGCGAAACTGGTGTGGACCTTTGTGGACTGGTTCGCCACTACTTGGTTATAGTCATTAGTCCCATGTAGCCGCATGATAGTATCGGGATCGTTACGGTAGACAAATACGGCGAGCAACATTGGCTCTGTCCTCGTCTCGGGAATGTGGTTGTCCGCCAGGTTGAGCATAAACTCTGGGTATTGACCTGTGCCGGGAAGCACGGGAACGAGGTAGGTGTCGCGGACGTTCGCTACCCCTCTGTCTCCTATGACTCCGTATCGCTTCTTGGACACAAAGTAGTCAACCAGGCGTTGGAACTGCGGCTTCGAGGCCGCCGACGTGGGCTGTAAGTTCACTACTACCACATCAGTGGGAAGACTATACCTCAGACTACAAAGGTAGACAATGGCCTGTTGTTCGTCAATCCGTCCGCAGACAGTAAGAGTCTTGGGCATTAACTTGTCCCATTCCAAGCCGATTGACTCCTTGAGTTTGGCGCCTCCAATATGCTTGGCCGTCACTTGGAAGTCCGCAATGGTATTCATGACTAAATTTCCCTTCCACACCACGTCGGGGTCGAGGATCTCTTCCTTGGGCGAGTAAGGCGGAGACTGGGTGCCGTCATCCAAAAGGCGATCCACATCAGCATCAACCCCAGGTCCTGTCGATGTAGACATGGCGGATGGACGTCTGTGGTGAGACTGCGTAGGCGACCTAACACTTGAGAAGACCTTGTTGATATCAAAGTTCCCTGTGCTAGGTGACTTTTGCGTGTCCACAGTCAGATCCCTCGAAGATCGCTTCGAAGCCGCCCCCTGAGCAGCCTTTTCCGGTCCCTCTTCCTTAACGCGTTTCTTCGGGGGCTCGGCTGTATCCTGGGGCGGCCTACGTACGGGAGCGGAGGAAACATCAGTCGAAAGGTTGAAACTTTCGTCACCAATAACTTCCTCGCCCTTGTGCGTCTTTCGTATCCTGGGGACATCCTCGGTGATCATAATGGACTGCTTCTCTGCCCTGGCCTTCATCTCGGCGGTCTCTTTCTGTAGCTCCTTTGTTGCCAGCTCCTCTGTTGTCATGGAAGCCAACATGGTAGGAGTAAGGGTGCCGCCAAGCAGGCCGGTAGTAAGGTCTTGGTTGGTCTTGAGGTTGTAACTTAGTGTCCGCATCTGGCCGCTATAGGCAGTGGGTTGGTGCGAATCGTGGACAGCCCGCTCAATCTGAATAGCTAAACGCTCGGCGGTAGCTGAGACGCCTTCGGAAGGAATCGACACGCCCTTCTTCTCGGCAACTCCAATAGAGTGCACAAGAGATTTAGAAAGGAGCTTGGCGGCGCCTTGCCGGAGCTCGGGCAGCTCACTGATCTTTCCAGCAATGTCATCTGGGGCCTTGTATGACGGAAGAGATGGAGCTTGGGTTTCTGTGACCTTTCGGACCTTTTGCTGTACGGAAGGGTTAGTCAGCGTCATGAAGAGAAGAGGAGTGAGAACAAACGTGACGTACCTTGGGCTCCTTCTCTGGCACCGGTTCTGTCGTCTTGCGCTTCTGTCCAGCGGCGCTCTTGGCATCCTTCTTGGGCTCTGGTACTGGAGATGGCTTTGGCTTCTGGGAGACCTGGGCGCTTTCTTCCTTGTGGTCGCTCACCCTCTTGGATTTCTTCTTGTTGCCTCTTCTCCGCTTCTCTGCCTTTTCTTCCTCGAAGGCTTTGCGCCTGGCCTCCCAGGGCCTCTCGCCGTTCTTCATGCCATTGAGCAGTTCCTGGTGGTTCTCGGGCTTGCAGAGCTCGCAGAAATACTCCTTAGGTAGATCTTCGCTATACTGGCTCATGCCCATGCAGATGTTGTGCTGCCAGGCGCCGCACATGTCGCAGGCAATCCAGGGTTCGCCGGAATCCTCATCTTGTTCGGTGGCGCCGCAGACACATCGGATGATTTCTTCCTCGGGCTCTTCTGGCTCGGGGACTGCCTTCTTGGCGGCCTTCTTTCCGCGCTTCTTGGGAATGTCGATTTGGTCGAGCTGTTCCAGAGCCTTGTGTTGGCCCTTGGTGGCTCTAACCGATCGGCGCGGCTCGGGTTCTAGCATCAGGTGTTTCGTGGTTAGCTTTTAGTCACAAAGGGCGGAACGGCTCAGTATCTGAAAATGGCATGGGGAGTTGGTAGCTGGCGCTAGCTTGGCTGTTTGATGCTATTGCGAGACGAAAACGAAACATGGTGACTGCGTAGTAGCTTACCAGACATGATGGCGGTTCTCGACAATGGCCAGGTCGGGTAACTTTGGGGTATGTAGTAGGTACGGGCTCAGTGGACAGCGAACTTTCCAGCCTTGTTCGGATACAATTGGGAGTGCTTTCGACTTTGTCTGACGCGCGCGCGGTCTACTGCAGATGGCTCAAGACATGCGTGTGGAGAGCGGATCCTCATGCGGGCATTAGACAGAGAAAGATATTTTACGCGTGTGAAAGTAGGTAGAGCTAGCAACGATGGCGACAATGACTACCCAGAGGAGGGCTGTCTCAACAACAACAAAAGAACGAAGAAAATGATCCTGAAGCTATGTGTCGCTGGCAGGCGAGATTCTTGCAGCAGCTAGACCTAGCAATCCTCAATTATGACCCTCCTGGTTTGCGCAAGGCAAAGCGTTGATGCCTGCTGTTTTTGCTTGTTGGTCGCCTTGTTGTTGTTGCTGCTTCTTCTTCTTCTTCCTCTCCGGCAGTTGGATGGACACTGTTGGATGATGTTGGTCGTCGCAGTCAGAATGTTGGTGTCAGTCCTTCCCGTCTGCCTTCAGTCAGAGAGGGGCCCAAGCTCCACGCGGGACCGTTAGAAGGTCGACAAAGTACTGTAGTGTAGAATGCGGAGGGATCGTCGGGGACCCTCGCGTGACCGGGAGCACACTGGATGTCGAGAGAGGAATAACGCGTCGGCAATTCAGAGTATGGGTGTTGTTAGCCGACAGACAGCACAGCACGAGAGAGTTGGGCGACAAGACTGAGTGGTGTGGTAGTAGTCAAGTCGGATTGCCGAGAGGTGTTCAGAGGAAGAGGTCGCTGAAACGGAAGAGAGAAAGAAGCAGCCGTGTCGCGACTGAGTGACGGAATTGTGGAGGTTGGCAGGAGAGGAGTTTGCTGAGGTGGAGGCGGCGACCAGATCTCTTGTACCGATTGTCCGCTTACCTCCAGCGATAATTGTTAATCAGCCAGTCAAGCTGCATACTGTAAGCTTAACAGCGGGACTCTCTCTATGGAACCCTGCTGGAGCGGGAAAGCGGGGTGATTTCGGGCGCTGAGGCTCTGAGTGGACATTGGATAAGACGTCAGACGGGAGTCCTAGAGGTATCCAGAGACCCCGGCAGGCAGTTGGCAGCTGGCGAGCGGGCAACCCAAGGTAATCTGGACCTTCATCCGTGTCAAGGAGGTACCTAGAGGCAGGTACCTGCCCGACCATAGGTGACGCGTTGGATGCTTGCTTGCCTGGAGCTCCAGGGCGACCTGACAGCACTGTTGAAGGAACTAACGAAGTCCACTGCGCTGCTGCACCTCAGCGTCAAGCCTTCCGCCTTCCGCTCTCCATCTTCCACGGCAGTTTGTTGAAGGAATACAAACCAAACCAAAACAACATCACCACGACGACGCAAAAGACAAGCACTAGGTTGGCGCTTGCGAACGACAGACCAAGAACTAGACAATTTCCAACAAGTCATCGTCATATCGAATTAAACCATGGCGAGAAGATACGATTCCCGAGTAAGTGGGCAGTGACCCGTCAGCCCGCCGCCGCCTGGTTACCTTACCTATCGACAAGTAGTGGGCGGAGGAGGGGGGGTAGCAGTGGTGGTGTGGTGATGGCAGCTTGTTTGAAGCTTTTGGGGGTTCGCACATAGACTGACACGCCTTTCTCATAGACAACCATCTTCTCCCCCGAAGGTCGTCTGTACCAGGTCGAATATGCTCTTGAAGCCATTTCCCATGCCGGTACCGCCATCGGTATCCTCGCCAAGGATGGCATCGTCCTAGCTGCTGAGCGCAAGGTCACCTCCAAGCTCCTCGAGCAAGACACATCGGCCGAGAAGCTCTACATTCTCAACGAGTAGGCGCATCCCTTTCTTACTTAAGGTCATACAGACGCTAACCTTGTCGCTGCCCTCCAGCAACATGATCTGCGCCGTCGCCGGCATGACAGCCGATGCCAACATCCTCATCAACTACGCCCGACAAGCCGCCCAACGCTATCTTTTGACCTATAACGAGGACATCCCCTGCGAGCAGCTAGTGCGCCGTCTCTGCGATCTCAAGCAAGGCTACACACAACACGGTGGTCTCCGTCCCTTTGGTGTTTCCTTCATCTACGCCGGCTGGGATCCCCAGCGCCAGTTCCAGCTCTACCTCAGCAACCCCTCGGGTAATTACGGCGGCTGGAAGGCGACCAGTGCGGGCGCCAACAATGCGAGCGCCCAGAGCTTGCTGAAGCAGGATTACAAGGAGGACTGCACGCTCAAGGAGGCGTGCGCCATGGCCGTCAAGGTGTTGAGCAAGACCATGGACTCGACCAAGCTGAGCCCGGAGAAGAGTGAGTGTTGGCGATATTGCGGTCATGGATGAAAGCATGCTAATGTTTTTGTAACAGTCGAGTTTGCGACGGTTGGCCAGACCAAGGACGGTAAGATCTACCACAGGCTATGGAGCGCGGACGAGATCACGGCACTATTGAAGGAACACGACTTGGCGAAGGACGACAACACGGAAGACAAGTAAGATGGATGAATGTCACGCATAGTTCTGGATGTGGAACAGAGCGGAAAGCCGGCCTGCGTTTAGTCTAGAGAGCGCTTTCTGTACTAATACAAGGAATGACCATGGTACGCCAAATGATGAAATGGATATACAAACATGGGTCTCCAACTCCCAGCTATATGCTCTTTGACGTTCCCCGTGCTCGAAAGTTGCCATATCTGAAGAAGGCGAAAGTTTCAAGTGTTACTGTACACGCACATCTGGCGCAAGCAAGATACATTACAGTATCAAATTAAGACATCTACGGAAACCAACCAAGTTAGCCTTCATCCACTCATCATCGAGGGCTCTCCAAAGGTCCCAACTCCACCGGGGCAGTCAAATCAAACGTTCCTACATTTCGCTGAAACCCTCCTCCGATGACCCCCTCCTCCTCATCCCTCACCCTCCCATACCTCCCACTACTCTGGACCCCGTCCCCGTCCCGCTCCCCCGTCATCCCCGAATAGGGCTCCTCACACCTCACGCTGCTCAACCTCGGCCAATACCGCCTATAACTCCAATACGTAATCACCCACCCCATCACCGCGCCCACACAGACATCCTCCACATCATGTCGGTAATCCATGCACCTGCTAATGGCGATCATCAACGCCCCCAGCAACGGACTGAGGCAAAGTAACGCCTTGAGTAGATCCCGACGGACCAGCACTTTTTCCATGCCCTCCATGATTCCAGGAGAAGAAGACAGAGGAGAACTGCTCGCAAACACTCTGAACTGCCCACACCAGAAAAGCGCCAGGTACCCTAACCCGGAAAACGCAAAACTACTGTGCCCACTGGGAAAACTGCGCCAGCCGTCGTGCAGGGTGTGGTGGTCTGTCTGCGTGCATACCTCGACACTGACGAGTTTGTTTGGAGGGGTGGAAGGGTCGGGTTGGCACCGGTCGATCAGGTCGGGACGAGGGCGGCCGACCATGTTTTTGATGAGGTCCGTGAGGAAGGTGGTGAGGATTATGGAGGTTAGGAAACCTAAAGTGGTGAGGTGGTGGATGTGCCGCGGGGAGGAGAGGAGGTAGTTGGTTAGGGTGAGGAGGGCCAGAGGGAGGAAGAGGACGTAGCCGAAGAGGTGGGCTGTTGGTTGGACGTAAAGTTAGTACTATAGTTAGACGGAAAGGGAGGGGCATAGGGAAGCTGGAAGGGATGGGTGAGGGAAGGGGAAGGAGCAAAGACTGGAAAGGGACGGAGAAGGGCAAAAAGGGCAGAAGGGCAAAAGGGTAAAAACATACCGAGAGGCACCCGCTCCACCTCAGCATGAGGAAACGAAATCCGGATATCATTGATGGTGAATAATCGGTGAAAAGGCTCGACGAAAGCGGCGATGTAGATGTATCCGACGAGGAGGAGGGAGAAAGCGACCCAGTCCGAGGTGTATGATCTCTGTACATACAAAAGTGTCTTGGTTAGCATCTACTCCAATCCTTGCCATAAGAATGAAGCCATCACGTACCGTCCACCACCTCGAAACGGACCCGACCAAGCCGTGCTTGGACTCGATCGACCCAAGGGAACCTGCCCTCGTCCTACTTGCCATGTTGAGGGTGACTAGTCACCGCCTACGAATCGACTTGAAGAGGGTGTATAGCATCGGGTTTCTCCTGCCGAGGAAAGGAGCGGGAAACGGGGTGGTGTCGGTGTCGAGCGGTATCGTATACCTCTACGGTAGAGGTTATCGGCGACCAGGAAAGGCGACGTTACTTAGGTTGCCGGACGGGAATTGGGTGGTGGCACCTCAATCAGGACGGGAAACCGGAAAGTTGGATGCTCCTGGCACCTAGTGGCGGGCTCGACCCCCGCCGAACAACCCGACGGGACAGCTAGCACCACCCCCGGCCCGCCGCCCGGCGTCCAGGGGGCACTCGTCAAATGAATGGAATTTGCTTGTCCCACAGCGGGCGGCTGTTGCGCTGCTGCCGCAGTCACCCACCTAATTTCAGCCCTGCTGCCCCTGCAAGGGACGCCCACGCACGTCAATGAAATGTTCCCTGGCACTTGCTGTGGAGATTTCCCCGGTGCCTGTGGGGCTTGGTGGGACAGGGATGTTAACGACAACTGCCGAGACAACTTCCAACTTTGACTTTTCCCTTCAACTCTGGAAAGACACTCGAACATATTATCAGCAATATTGGCTTCTGCGCTTTAAAGATATCTCACCCTTACTTTGGAATTGTCAATATTTTATATTTATTACTGATCAAGTGGCTTCCATTTGCCAAAGAACCCACCTGAAGAAGTGTCCATCTTCAGTGCCGGTTTCTTCACGTTGAAGAAATCGTGAACAGTTGAAGAATCCCTCCTCGTTATCAAGGGCCTAACTCAAGTGACCCTGCGTGCTACTAGAAAACTATCAGTATTGTTACTTCAATGAAGCTCCCTTACCACAATGTTCCGCCGGTCTCCCTCCCCACGTCCAAAGAACCCAAAGAGGCAGAAGTGAAAGATGTCCCAAGTCGTCAATGACAACCTGTATAAATCCCACACCATCCACCCCCATCATGATCTCATCTCGTTAACCAGACAAATAATCACCAGCTCAACACCCGGTGTCTTGAGTTAAATCTACCCATAATAATGTCCCCTTCACTTCTCTCTCTTGCCCTCCTGGTGTGGGCTCTACCCGTCCAAGTCCACAGTATCCCCCACCAGCCCCCTCAGAACGGCAACTTTTACCCTCCGAAACTACCGCCAGCGCCATGCGGCGATTTAGCCTCGACAGTGACAGTTACTGCTTCATCAGTAGAGACAGTTACGATCACATCCTCAACTTTGTCCTTCCCCTCGCCCTCATCTTTGCAGAAGGCAGTGGTGACGGTTACTGTCACCGAAGCTGGACTTCGCGTACCGCCTTTTGCAGTATGGTCTCAGCCGGCTGAGATCCAGACGATCCAAACTGTTACGGTTACCGCTTATCCTGGTCCTCAACAGCAACCGCAGGGGCAACCGCAACCCAGCTGGGGACCTGACGCCGGGGCTGGGGTTGGGTGGGATCATGAACTCCCTAACCATGACGACGAAGATCCAGCTTGGGGACCGGATAGGGGTCCGCTGGTTCAAACAGTAACTGTGACTGAGCCCGCTGGTTCAGCATCAGCCCCTGCGTCAACGATGGATTCGATTTCGGTGGTTACTGTCACTCGGCCAGCACCTGTCTTCAACCACCCCCACAATGGTAATGGTTGGCCCCATCTGGAAGATGGGTGGAGGTATTCGGACTGGGCGTCTCATCCCAAGCCTAGTATTAGTGTTATTGGGGATGGACTGAGTTTGGACACGGTAACTGTTACCATGTCTGGTGGTGGTGACAACCGCTGGAGACCTACACCATCTTTTTGGTCTACTTTATCCTCTCTGGTCAACGTCAACGTCAACGTCAACATCAACATCGTGGGAAACACTAGCAACCACGTCTACGACACCTTCGGATCCCTGGGCTGAGCACAGCGTTCCGCCTACTTGGCCCAAGCCTCAATGGCCTCATTTCGACCCTCATCCTCATCCGCCTTATCACCCTGATCCAAGGCCGAATTGGCAGCCGAACACGACTGTCACTGTTCCTGTGGAGGTGGAGAGCGAGTCACTTCCGTGTTCGACCTCGACTTCGAGTTCATCCTCCACCTGGACTACGACCACTTCAACTCATATCCACAGTGAGAATGAGCCAACGCCTTGCACCACCACCACCACCACTACATCCCCAACTACAACCCCTTGTGCGTCTACCACCAGCACCTCCACGGCCGTGATAATTCCTCCTACAACAACAACAACCTGGCAAATACCAAAATGGTCAACCATCACCACCCGCTGTTCGTCAAACTCAACCACATCCGCTTCCACTTCCACATCTTCTTCAACATCTCCTTGCTCATCCTCTCACTCAACGGGAACCAACTTCCTCACCACCTGGGTATCCACCACCACTACCCAACCCATAATTGATAATACCCCGACACCAACAATCCCACTTACCCACTATGCTCCTCCTTCCTCTGCAGATCACAGCTGGGGCATGGGCAAGGGATGGGGCAATCCTTGGAACTGGGGAAATAGGAATCAAGAAGATCCCGACGAAGCCCAGAAGATCACTAGTAATGAGGGACAAGAGAAGAACAATGACTCTGACTCTGACTCTGACTCCGGGAAGGAGGACCAACAGAAAGAGAACAAAAAGGAGGGGGGAACCCTCCTAGATATAGACCTTGACCTTGATCTCGACCTTGGTCTTGGCCTTGACCTTGGCCTTGAACTTAACCTTGGTTGAGATGAGAAGTCCAAAATCCAATCCATGATTGGAAGACCTTCCACTTCGTTGCATATACGCTATGCAGCGAGGCCTATGCACGGAAGTTGGCTGATGCAGGCTTGGACGTATCAAATTCAATGCACAGGGACCGAACAGTACCACCAACTTTGTTGCATACCTCTACCTACCTCTACACTCGTTTCCTTGGCAACTGTGTTGCTCCTGCTGCATAGGTATGGATCCACTGGGAGCGAAAACTAACACTGCATTTGGAGAAGAGGTCAGGCGCTGGACGTCAGCCACGCCTGCCTCCCTGATTGCACTGAGGACACTCCCAGTTTCTGCCTTTTGCTTTGGTTTTTCTGGTTAAGTTTTTGGTATGGTCGGCATGGAACGAAATGTTCGGTCTCTAGGTACATAAATGGGTACATGAGTACCTCTACTATGGTGTTTCTTTTCGAGGAGGAATAACAACGAGGAATACCTATGTAATGTTTTATCGATAGGTGCATACAGACAGCAAGTCGACTGGCTCGACTTCATCATCATTTACACAGTATGTACCTACCTTTAGGCAGTCAAACAGAAGCACGATATTAGTAATATAGAACGGAATTGGCAGCTCGTTCAACTTCAACTAGAGCCGCATATGCACGTCTTCGATGAACTTTCTTGTGTCGATTTGTTGGATCTTCAGCCATTATCGGAATTCTTTTCTCATTTTTTGTCCGGGTTTTCTTGTTCTCTTCATGGCTGGCAGTTGTTCGCAGTTTAGGCACATCGGAGTTAGGCACCCCCAACAATAAATCACAAGCATGAACAGGTTATTCTCAAAAATCATCAAGTTGCTATGTAACCCTGGTGCCGGTGCAAACTGAGTGAGATAACGATAACTGAATTACGAAACACCTGGGCCAAGTGTGTACGCTCTGACACCTGCGACGACGCCATCATTACTATGAACCACCATATCAGTGATTGCCATCATAGATCGCTTATAACTTCAAGACGACTGTATTTTCACCTGCCCTCGCTCTTCCTTCTACTCGTGTGAGTTCACTTGATAATGATGAACCGCCACTCCACCCCAATCCACATTTTGAGTTGAAGGGACTACTATTAGAAGCGACTGTGTAGACCGCGAACGGAAATTGTAAACGGATTTAACGTGACGCTCATGTACGGATGGGCCACTATACCCTACGCTCCCAGGTCTCGATTGAATTTTCCTCCTTTTTTTCATTCCAATGAACTAGAATGGCAAAACTGAAAGGCGAAAGACGCAATCGATGTAGGTAAATATCAATCGAATGCCATCGACGAGACTAGTATGTAAAACATGAAATTGACATGCTAACGCCGGAGAACAAGAGAACAAAGTACAAAGAAAATTATGAAGAGAGAAAACGTTCCGTGGAAAAACCTTTGAGAATGACCGGGCTCCCAACACCCTGAAATGCTGATGATTGATGTGCGATATTCCGCACAAAAACGTGTGTTCCCTGACTCCGTTCGCTTTGTTTCTCCCATTTGCCCTTGAGTGGTTTCCGTTCATATCCCATACACACCTAGCAAGTCATCGAAAATGATCATGACTTTTTGAGAAAAAAAAAGAAAAAGAAATAAAAAAAATCCGGTAACGTGGAGAGAGACCCAGACCCGGGCTAGCCTGGGCTTTGAAATAGCGTCCTAAGACGAGCAGTGGCTGTCCAGCTTCTGAAGAAGTTACTCTGGCGCGCGCCGACCTTTCCACCCTGATATGCCCTTCTTTCCAGTGGACTGTTGATTGGGTTTCTATTTTGAGGGTGCCGCATTTCGCTGACAGGTTGACTGTATGAAAGCCAAGTTCAAGTCCATGCTTTCATGACCGCTGGCGTTGTCGTTGATGCGTAGTTTTTCTGTCCGAATTATTCGCCTTCTGCAAGCAAAAGTTGTTGGACTTCTGCCTCATTGAGGAGCTTACGTTTGCCGAGTTCCTCGGGCGGAGCTCCGTCTCGGACAGCCCCAAAATCAAGAATCTAAAAACCTTCGAGTCAGCTCATGTGCACGTCCGGCGTTATGTCGCTGCTAAGGAGATTGGCACATACCTCGACGTAAGTCAAATTGCCACGCTGCACCGCCGCAACGCACCGCCTTTCGTCAAACTTTACTTGCCAGACCCCGCTGAGGTCTGTCAAAAGATCCTGCATGCATTCGCCCGTTTGAACATCCCACATTTTGACGGTCTTCTCGCTTCCAGAGATGACTTTGCGGCCATCATGTTGGAAACACGTGATCGCTCCGGTGTGAGCCATCAAAGTGTGCTTACATTTTCCGTTCTCAGGGTCCCAGATGCGCAGCGTGCTGTCCGCCGCAGCCGAGACCAACTTTTCGTCACGCAAGTCGAGAAGTCCAACTAGCAAGCTGTGCCCTTCCAAGGTGTACAAGCATGCACCAGTGTCGAGATCCCAGATCTTGACGAAGCTATCCATCGAGCCAGAAATGCACCGATTCCGCTTATGGTCCAAGACGACCGAGTAAACCTTTTGATTGTGGCCGGACAGAACATGGAGCTGCTGGCCCGTGCTGATGCGCCACACACGCACGGTGCTGTCGTAGCTACCCGAAACCAGAGTATCCCCGTGAGCCGAGATGGACCTGACAGAGTGGGCGTGTCCGGAAAGAATACGGACAAAATAGGGGCAGTTTTCTTCATTAGCGGCAGGCCCGTTCATAATGTACCGGCGAGAACCCGGCTCCGGAAGGCGCCAGACGCGCAGCTGGCTATCCCTAGACCCGGTAATGATCAAGGGCTTCTCGGGCATCATGACCGGCTCGCCGTTCTTAACTTCCCCGGTCTCCGTCGGCATGAGGATTTGCAGACAACGGACCGTGGACGTGTGCCCATAGAATGTTTGAGTACAAATACCCTTTTGGATATCCCAGACACGGACAGACCGATCGGTACTACCCGAAACCAGGGTGTTCCCAACGTATTGAAGAGCCCAGACTCCGCCTTCATGGCCCTCGAGTTTCGTGCGCAGCTTACCGGTTTTAGTGTCGTAGACATGAATTAGCGTGTCGTCACTACCGGTGATGATTTTGTCCTCGTCGAACTGCAGGCATGTTATGACATGGCGAGGGTGCGCTGCAAAGGCAACGTGACTGGGCCTAACCTTCCCGCTGGTCCAGTTCTGGCGAATCATGTAGTGTCTTCTGTACAGAGACTTGTAGAGGTGAAGCCGACGTAGGCTTGGAAGCCCAATCTGGGGATCTGGAACGGCCAAAGCTGCGGCATTAGCGGCTGACATGGGTCCCTCCGACCTGTGTGTCTGGTGGAACCTTTCTCTGAAGTCCTGAAAGCTGACACGACGCTTGGATCTTTCAGTGTTCGTGTGGCCTGCGTGGCGCTTGCGCTTCGAAGATCTTGTCCTGGGAGTAGGGCCGGCGTCGGCCTTATCTGATTTCTCAGACTTGACTGCAGACTTGAACAGTTCCGACTCGCTTGATGTCAGTTTGGAATGCTGGCTTAGGTCGACCTCGCCTTCCAACGCGCCAACGGGATCCTGCCAACCCCACCCTTGAGCGATGGCCTTTTGAAGCTCGCCAGGAGCAAGTTGAAAGCCATCCCGATCGAACAGCTCCTTCCAACCTGTCTCATTGCTATCGACGATATTACGCCACTGTTTTGATACTTGGGCTGCCCGGCAAAGATCGCGGTGATCCAGATAAGAGAGAATATGGAGACTGAGTTCGGTAGGAAGACGTCGAAAGAAATCACACTTCAAGGCTGGGTTGACAACATCAGCAACCGCTTGAAGAGTCTTCCGGGGGCACCGACGCAAAAGTTGATAAATCATCCAAGACTTCATTTGGGTCGGCATAGCATCAAAGCTGTCGATCATCATGTCGGGGTTCATCAGGGTATGGTGATAGGCTCCGTCGAGCTGAGACGGGGAAATGGTAGGATCACAACGACCAGGTGATAGAACAAGCGAATCATCAACCATCTCAGCGTCCGCATCACCCGTTCTTTGTGTCTCATCTAGCCACTGACTCGGGCCGCTACGGCCAAAATCATTAATAGAGGCTGTGACCTCGTCATCAGCACCTTCGTCATCCAAAGGTCCTAGCTGTAGCTGAGCCGCAGCAAGCGTAGGCGATAGGCGCGGACTAGGCAAACTGGCGTCTTGTGCGGCTACTGCACTAATGGCGTGGCTCGCGTGCAGTCCCCTAACCGTTTGTTGAAGAGGCTCATCGTAATCGGCAGCGGGTTGAAATTCGACATCCGTAATGGGGGGCGTAGCAACCGCGCTGAAGACGATCTGAGTCTCGCTGCCAGCCTGGCTCTCTGCGTCATCATAAGTGGTTGACTGGCTTGTCTCAGCTTCCGTCGTGTTCACGAGCTGAAGCGCTGGGGCATCATGGTCAAAATCACCGCTATCTCTTTCGGCCTCATCAGGTGTTGCCAGATAATCTGTATCCGTCCGGGGGGAGCGTTGAAGGCGTGGCCCCTTTGCCAGTGCGCGACGAAGCTCGGTATCGGAAGTAAGCACACCTAGTCTGGCCGTAGATCTTGGCAAAGGGCTGTTGTTGGGAGACTCGAACCGACCACTAGATCTCTGAAGTCGTTTGGGTTGCGGGCGTCGCTGGATCAAAGAAGGGGTAAGAGACCCACCACTCTCGACTGTTGGCTCCTCGATGTAGTCGATATTCTCTACCCGATGTTGAGAGGAGTTTCCATCGACACCAAAGCCGCCAACTGGAGACCATATTTGACCATTGTTTTGAGATCCTTGAGGAATAGTATACGTGGACGAGAAATTTTTCAGGAACATGGGCGTCGGCTGTGCAGCGAGCGGGTATTCTTTGGGGTCGAGCATTTGTGGTTCTCGAATTTGGATGGGAGAAAATCTTCGCTGAGTAGTCGTTGTAGTCGTGACCGTCTTCGTCTCTACGTATTGCTCGGAAAGCGTGAGAGTGCGAGTTTTCGAGGAAGGGTCATCTTCTTCGGCCCACGTCATCGAAACCCGCTGCTTCGATCGTGGTGGGCGATCCGCGATGGTCTTTTGAGTAGGTGTAGGAGAACTCATGTTTGCAGATTGAAGTGTTGTCGGTTGCGGACCATCAAATTCGAAAGGCATCATTTGTCGACGTCGCCCCAACGTTCGTGGTTAAAGGAGTCGATCGAACGACGAACGAAAAAGTTGAATCTCGGCCGGTAGAGGTATTAAAAAAATTGGCAAAGTCCGGGGTGGGCTAAGTAGGCTGAGGTTGAAATAGAGGTCGACGATCCTGAGGGGCACAACGAAGGATTCCTGTTCAAACAAGGTGAATGCCTGATTCGGACTGTATCGGAGATGCTGGTCGTGGTGCTTTCAACGCGTTCCAAGTCGCGGCTGCGTGGGTGGTCGCCACACGCGTGTTGTCCGTAGTAAAATCCCCTTTACGCGATGGCAGGCAAGCAAACGGGATTTTAGAGTGCTAATTGCCACGAAAGCATGGCGTGCCGTGACCGACGAAGAGGCAGGGTTGACGTTGACGTTGCTGACGTTGACAGAAAAGGGTCTGTTCGCGCGTATCTGTGTCGGGTCAGGTCGAAGTAAATGATTGCCCAGCGTAGCCCTGTCGAGTCAAAGAAAGAAGGGCAAGGGGAGAAATGGCGTGGGCTGGACTGGATGTTTGCAAGTTTTTTTTGAATGCGTTCGAGTCCCTGGCAAAGGGAAGGAAGGGGTCGGCGGAATGACCAAGCCAGTTTTTTTGTGGTTGTCAGAGGCAGCGGACGGGATGGAAGACTGGGGAATGGGGAGGGGGGCGGAGCGTGGAGCGGCGGCGGCAGGGGCGGAAGGCGAACAACAACCTGAATGTGGGAGTCGGGTGTTCAAGTTGTTGGACGGAAGTTGTTCTTAGTTAGTAGTTGGGCGACCTAGACTAGGTAGGTACTTGGACTTCCTGTACTAGGCTCCCGGTCTGCCTGGTGGACTGGAGGACCTGGACTGGGAGACGGGGATGACAGCAGAGGCACGGGCAGTGGAGGCGGGAGTCTGATCTGGGTTATGGCCCGGCCGATTTATGTCGAATCTGCCAGGTGGGATCGTTGGATTCCGGCCCTTCGGTGGCTTTGAATGGGGGCAAGTATTCTTCGGTGGTGAGCGGGCGGTACATTTTCAAAACCTAGCTGGGAGGCAGGTGACAACAACGGGTCCAGGTGCGATCGAGATGTCAGTCAGATACCTCTTACCACCGATTTACAGCGATATCCTAGGGTGGAGTCGGACTGAAGGGAGGTATACCTGGACAGGGGCAGTAGCGTGGGACTGCTGGAAAAAGAAAAAGGCTGAAGATGGAATGGAAGGCACTCACTCACCCTTGCCATATATATATACATACACATATTTCACAGCAGTCTTCACACGGACACGGAGATGCAATACAACAAGTTCCGAATCCGACGGGAGTCTTGATATGTACGAGACGATACGAAGACGAGCTTGTTTTGAATTAAAAAAAACTTTAAATTCATGCACACGCAGGCTGTAGGAGAGTGCGGAAAGAGTTCTACATGTCGGGCATTGAAGATTACCTGACTAAGTACCTTAACATACCGCGTAGTGCGTACTGCATCCAGCGCACCCAAGCGATGAAACTGAGTCTGACGAGCAGGGCTGTCGTGACAAAAGGAACGCTCACAAGTCCACAGCTGCACACGATAGATCGCCATGCTGTTGACAGAAAAGAGCAGGAGTCGGAAAACAACTGCCCGGGCGTCCACTTCCCGCTCAGTCGTTGTCCTCTTTTTCTTGTGCACTGCACACTACACTACTAAGGTACTGACATGACCTGCTCCTTCCATCTGCATATTGGCCTCCAGTGCAGGTGACTGTAGGTATCTAGATATGTACTTCCATGTATAACCCCGGGCGTACCTGCCTCTACTCCCCGTGCATCTACTTCCTACCTCCGAAGCCTTTCTTCCTACCTACTCGAATACATGTAAGCTGATTGCAATCATCATTTCACTTATCACTTCAGGCCTCCTCCAGGGCAGTTCTGGGCCGGTCTTTGCTGATGTGATGCAGTCCAAGAACATCCAATGCTGCATGTCCTGGGTCTTGCATGCCATCTGGTGACAGCTGCTTCCTTTCTGTTGACCAGGGTCCCGAGGTACCTAGGTACCTATGGATTTGTGAACTTCCTGCACTTCTTTTGACTTGCTTTCATTGGTCACTCGGTTCGTCCGGCAGGCAAAGGATGCACCACCACCACTCACGCATCACTGCCAACCCTTGATGGATCGCGCTGACATGCGAGACACGAGGTTGGCCGAGTGAATCCTTAAATGTCCCGCTTCCATGCTCTCGTCTCCAGCAAGAGTACAACACTTTTGGACGAGCAACTGTCCCTGCTGCCATCGCGATCCAGCCATGATCAGTGATGAACCCATGAACCACCACCACCTAGCCGCTGGCTGGCATGAGCGGAGCCCCATCATGTTTCGATAGTTCTGTTGTTATTCCGGGCCACGACACATCGCGATACGTCACTGAGTTCAAGCCCTATTTATCAATGTCATGCTTGGACCGACTGACTTGTTCGATGGACTTCCGAGAATACATACAGATTATCACCCTTGATCGACTCGCCCTGGATGACAGCGTGCACATATACCTACCTTGGCATGCCTTTGTCAATCTGCCAGCAACCACTTGAACTTGGACTTGTGACACCCTCGCAGTCCAACTAGTGTACCCAACTCCAAGTCAGGTCATCATTTTCAGGGGCAGCCGAATGCCAGTGCTCCACCGTCACCCACAGATTGTCATGACCCACTCAGCCTTGAGTCTTCAGTCCTGGACTCTGGAGGAGGAGGAGGAGGAGGAGGGATTCATCAACAGCCTTGATGTGGGCTTCCTCGGTCCCCCTTTTGCCGACCTGCCCCTTCACGCTGTCGATTATCCCGCTTACCAGTCTTGGCGCCCTCTTCAACTTGTCTCACTGAGTTTCCAGGTACTCCAGCTTCTGTTGAGGCAGAGATACTCTGAGTAATATTAACTCTGCAACAACGGCAATAAATCCACCATATTCAGGTCGCTCAAAAGGGGTTGGATTTTTCTTGTTCCACTTCGATTACGGCGGCTTTCAAAGCGGCGGCTTGAAAGTTGAAGGATGGAGATTGAACTTGTCACTTGTGCAAGTTGCACAGATCGCTTTTGCCCAGAATTGCAACTGATATAAGCGATGCCCTGCCGCTTCGCCTCTTCCCTGCTTTGCCAGCTGGACGACATCCTGGCAACCGGGTTTCCTGGTGGCCCAAGCGCCTGCCTAGCGTACTTCCCAAACTCTCAAGTCTGGTGTGCGCACATTCGACACAATACAGGATCCATGTTTGCTTGATATGTATGATCATCACGATATACGCACAAGTGCATCTTATAAGTGGTGACGCAGCAGACACCTTGGAGACATTCGGGGCAGGTTGAGGCTCTTGGAGGTCTTGGGGAGTAGCCAGCCGTCGGGTGCCTTTCCATGTGCACATCGAACAACACTCGTAAGTCTGGTACAGTAACCGTGCTGTATCAATACAGGAGAACCACAATGCTACGAGACCTCATCAACCAAAAACCAACTTTCGATATACGCAGAAAATCATGTCCGGACGCGAAACGCCGTGCCATCGGACTTCCGGGTTGCGTCGCTCTACAAACACCTTGGCGGGCATCGAGCAGGGAGATATAAATCTCTCCCTTTCCACCTCTAGACCTGGGAGCCGTTCCTTGTATTCTTCTTGCAACCACTCGTCTTAACTATAATTTGGGGTTATGGCTCTGTTTGTCGAATGATTGTTGTACTACTACTTGTCCCTTCTTGAAACGCCCTGGGAAGGATGCCGAATTACGGTGGTCTCGGTCAAGATCGAAATGAGATCCGAACGGAGGATCATCCCGTCCGAGACTTCCAACTACACTAATATGCCAATCCGGGGTAAATTTTATGTTTTCCTTGCCCAAACAACCATTTTAGGAATTATTGAAGTGCTGTAGCCATATGTTTTCGCTCGCCATGTCACGGGGTGTGAAGGGTTCATGGGTGTTTCTACTTTCAGAAGTTCCAAGTGTCTGGATATATACTGGTGCTCCAGTCATCTCAGACTGGATTCCAAATTATTTTTCTTACCTCTCCAAATAAACTTGCTCATACAGATGTACATCGACATATGACGGACTGCAGGATAATATGGTATGAGAGGCTGGATACTATCTTAGCGAATGAATGTGGCGCCAAACAGGGCCATACAACACTCGCGGTGGACTTGCATCCACAGGAAACAATATCACAAAGTGAACATACTTGAACTCGGTCTTGCGATGCGTGGCTTTACATTGAACCAACATCGGTGGTACACTAGAAGTGATCATGATGAACACTGGATGGCTGCACACAGCTCAGGCCGTGGTCGAGATCGAGTCCAAGGGAGAGCTCCTTCCATCTTTGCTCTCCTCACTTCCGGCGCACCGTTTGCACCTTCCACCACTTTCAAATTCGAATGTTCCTACTACTTCTCTATGCTCTTTCCCAGTCCAAGTGTGTCGCTGAGAACACAATGAAAATCTTCGCACAAATTCCTTCTCCTCTCCATTTTTTCGAAGCCATCCGGGCCGAGATTGCGCATCCCTCCGGTTATGAAACCCCTCAATCGAGCACCGCCGACGTTCCCTAATCATACAACTCTGCTATCATTTCGACATGCCGAATCCCCAGACGTATGGAGCTCGTGGATTGCGGAAGCGTGACATCCAGCTGTGCAAGACAGTGTTTGTGGCTGCCGTGAGTGCCGTCCCCTTTCTTCCTGCGCCAGAAATCTTGACCTCTTGATATGTTGCGGCAACTGACACCCTTCACAGATCAGCCAGATACTATATGCTCGGTACTATGAATCACTTTGGCTTCGGTCGTGGCTTCAAGCACTCTTCCGCTTCGTGGAATTACTGACCTTTCTCAGACGCGCTTTCCCATCGAACTTCTTCCATGTCTTACCCCTGAGTGACCTTGTGTCAAAGACGTATGAAGAGATCATGGCCTCAGGATCAGGCATACCGACTTTTGACAGAGAAATATTGAGGGAACAATCAACCACCGTATTCTTGCACCAGGATGTCGATTACGACCTCAAACGCTTCTTGGGCATCCTGGTTAGGACCAGTCACCTTCCTCACCCACTTCAGATACGGTATCACTGACCTTGTTCTGAACCAGACTCACGACATATTTCCCATTCTGGAAACCGAAAATCTGGCCAGATTCCGCATCAGCTTTTTGAGATCAACAACTTGGGATGAGAACTGTTTGATCGAGTACTACACCTTGGTGTTCAAGTATCCCCCTGACGGAAAATGTGGAATCGACATTTGGAGAGCAGGCATCGGGGAGCAACACATATCTGACACCAACTTCAAGCTTTGGAATTTGGGTGACTACCTGAACCGGCTTCCCTCTCTCAAAGGTAAGTAGTACGGCTATCATCGCGCACCTAACCCAGCTGCAGCATACGCCGCATGCATACCAGATAGTGGTTAAAATACAATGGGCGATAACCAGCAGCGAGATTATAATTAACTTGCTTCTTACAGGGCCTCTGTATTGGGCTATGGCCTTTCACGCAAATGAACTTCCAGATATTCCCACCATTGGATTCTGGAAGTTTGATCGTACCGAGTTCGACGATGCAAATCTCAAGCTTCAACAGAAAGAGGGATACCGTTACGACCGAATCGCGAGCCTAGAGTATGCGAACTCTTTCCACTGTTTTGATCCTTGCGCTAACCCTCGAATAGGATAGAACCACTTCGATCAGATTCTCAACAAATCGAGAGCATACCTGTTGTTCCCGTCAGTCAGAGCACCAACAACCATAAGCCGTCTTCTCCCTCTGTGCAACTTGACACTACACCCCAGGAGCTTGAAGCTCCAAAACCCAGGAAACAGGCAAACACGAAACGCAAAGCGGTTCAAGAACAATTACGAGCTATCAACACACGGCAGAGAACACTGCGAGCCCAAGAAACAGAAAAGGTGAACCCGCCATCGAAAGCAAAAGAGACTAAAGCTGGTCACAAAGCTTCCCCAGTCCAGAACCGAGGGTCACAGGGCAAAACCACCGCAAAGGGTTTACAAAAGAAGGCAACCCGGCCGAGCGCAAAGAAGCCGAATGCGAAAGCAAAACAAGTGACAAAGACGGCACAAAAGCCAGCCTCGACACAGAAGCAGGCACCAACTCCAGGACGTCCTAGCACTCAGAAGAGGAAGCCAAAGCGTCCCTTGGTAAGTCAAACAAAGGTTACGCGATTGAAGGTCCAAAGACACAAACGGTGGCTAATATCGTGCAGCAAATTTACGAAGACGTGACATCCAATCTGCCTGAAACCCAAGAGGTTGCACGCGAGAGTCAGACACAACAAAGTCAACTGTCCGGAACCAGAAGCAGCAAGAGACTTGCCGCAAATGACGGCGGTCCGGTAGGAGGCAATGTCTCGAACACAAGGGCCAAAAGGGTGAAAGCCACTCATCCTCCTCCTCCTCCTCCCCCTCCTCCCGCACGTATGTCCTCCACACCGGATGCCCAAGTTGTGTCCGACTTCTTGGAAAGCATCGATGAGGATCACCTTCTGGATACTCCTCCGGACGCGCAGCGAGGTCCACCGTCCTTCGCTGTTACACCCGCTTTTTTACGATCGGATCCGGTCCCGGAAAATATGGAGAACGCAACCGCTGGTGACGAAGACATCGGCGATAGCTTGATAAGTGACCCCAACAATAGATATCCGCCCACCGATATGTCTTTCGATTTCCAGCCGCTTCTGACGTCACAGACTGAGAGGATGTTTCCGGGGATTCTTGACAGTGAGGATGAGGATAGCCCAATCGTGAGTCTCGTCAGCAGACGGCAGAGTGGCCACGCCTGAATATATGAAGAAGTATCCCGGTCGTTTCGTTATAGGTGGTATTTATGGTGATAGGATCGTATGTGTCGCTAGAAATCGCCTGTTGTGTTCTAGGCTTGTATTATCTCGAGGTCAAGTCAGTCTCTAGATGGGTCAAGATGAAGATAAAGTGTGGTATGATCACTGTCGCTGTCCGCTATCAAATCGACACCTTGTACGTTTTTATCGGGTCCGAAATTCCCAATAGAAAAACAGGAAGAAACGCAAAATGTTATCAGTACTGTTGAACTTTTCTCTGGCCGTGGGAATGTGCTCCAACTGGGCTATCTGTGATGTATCTAGCTACGCGGCCTTTTTCCCGCAGCGAGATACAGTGAGTCTGATGGTAGATTGCCAAACATCGGCTGATATTGCATTAGTTCTTTTTGATTAAGTTTGAAGCGGCTTCGGCTCCAGTGGTATCTTGTCATCCATCCATCCATTCGCGTCAGATCTTTTGACACCTGCTATCTCGTCACCTCTACATGATAACCTCGTTGGCAACATCCTGTGAAAATTTGTTAGTCTCGACGTTATGGATAATTGTCTTGATGGAAACACAGAATATAAACTCACCCTCTTCAACTCCTTGAACGGCAAGCACACGCAGTTCTGCACGCGCACCTCATCACCAACGGCACACTCCTTGCCCAAAATCGTAATGGCCTGCACCTTGACGCCATTCTTGATGATGCTCGTCGTGTGGCTCGTCACGGGCGTCGGCGTACCCTCGACACGGGCCCAGGCACCCACGCGGCTGTTCCAGCCGATGATGGAGTACAGGACACAAGCGTCGTGCTTAATCTCGCTGTCCTCCAGCACAATCGACTCCTTGACACGGGCACCAGCGCCCACCACGGCGCGGGGACCGATGCTGACGTTGGGACCCAACTTGGCGGTGGGGTCGACGCGGGCCGTGGGGTGGATGAAGACGGGCGCGATGATGTGGTTCGGCTGAGGCTGAGCCAGCTCCAAGGAGCCCGATTGCCACGCGTTCTGCAGGTACAGCGCGTTGGCGGGGATGGCGGACCCGGCCGTCTTGATCTGCCGCCAGAAATCCTGGGTTTCATAGACGAAGAATTGCTTCGAGTCGGCCATGTCGGAGAGAATGTCCTGCTCGAGACGGATGACTTCGGAGCGCTTCTCGGATTCCTCGTCGTCCTCGTCGGCGGCCTGCTGGGCGAAGAAGGAGGACTCGAGGTTCTCGGCGGACGGGTAGCGGATCAAGCGGTTAGGCCGGTCGGTGCGGCGCTTGATGGCCGTGCGGATGGAGGGGAAGATGGCTTCCGTGGCGAAGAGGTAGACACCGCAGTTGATCAGGTTGCTGATGTGGCTCTCGGGCTTCTCGACGTAGTGCAGCACGCGGCGCGTGTGCGCGTCCGACACGATACAGCCAAAGTTGGTTGCTGCGTCTTCCGCCACGCGGGTGCCCAGGATCACGGCCTCGGCGTCTTTTTCTTCAAAGAGGCGGAGCATCTCGCCCAAGGGAAAGGAGCAGCACACGTCGCTGTTGAGGACGAACAGGCGCTCCGGACGGCCCTTGAGGATGATGTCGCGGAAGTGGTACAGGCCGCCGGCGGTGCCCAGCGCTTGGTACTCCCGCAGGTACTTGATGGTCAGCTGGGGGAATTCGTGGACGGCATCCTTGATGAAGTCCCGGAAGACGGACTCGTCGTAGTAGCCGATTAGGTAGACTTCGTGGATCGAGGGGACTTTGGCAATGGCGGTTAGGCAGTGCCAGATGATGGGGTGGCCGGCAACGTCGAAGAGGGGCTAGTTGGTTGTCGGTGAGACCGCCGTTAGTGGAAAGTGACTTGCAGGATATAGCCTGGGGGGGCGTTCAAAGACTTACCTTGGGGACATCGAGGGAAAGGGGTCTGAAGCGAGTACCGCGCGAGGCACCGCCGACCTAGAGTTGGGTTATAGATGTCAACATTTTTGCTTGCTTTGTCTCGGACGGAGCTACCTCTACCCCAATCATGGCTACAGGACTCGGGGTGAAGGAGGTGTTCCGTAAGCCAAGGAGGTTCTGGAAACACTCACCAGGATGACGGCCTTGGTTGCGCCGCCAGCAGCAGCCCCGTTGGCTTTGGTGTGGTAAGGGACCTGGAGAGACATTGTTGTGTATGGGTTCCCAATAGATGTATGTGGTTGATACAATGGTTGACTTGGGATATGAAAGAGACGGTAGATGTGTAAAAAAGAGAGAGAGAGAGAAAAGAGACGGAGAGATTAACACAAGTGTTTAATTAGTCGTCTCGAAAACGGGATGTCGTACGCCCACTTGTGTATGGTGCTGCGGTCAATGGTGTAACTGGGCTGCTTCCCGTCAAGGTCCACCACTGCTACACGAGCTCGCTTTAGCTCTCCATCCCCAAATCCCCTGAACCAAAGCTTGCAGTCCCCGGTCAGTCTCACGGGCGGCGGTGCCCCACGTGAACACCCAACTCTGTTTTTGGAGGACAGGGGCCGGGCGCGGGTACGGCCTCGAACTGCCCTGGCACCCACTGCAGATTGGCTTCTTCCCCACTTTGTCCTTCTTGGTGGGGCCAAGTACATATTGCGGCCGGCAACGTGCTCAGACGTAAGCCAACGGTCGAAAATGTGAAAAGTCTGGCAGGCAGTGGCAGAAAGTCATCGTCAGCATCAACAGTCCAAACCGATGACAGGACCCCAGCAAAGTCACCAATGAAAGCACCTAAGGTTACTAGTTGAGATTCCCTACCTCTACATATACCTACCCTTTGTTCAATTGCTTGATACCTGCGCTTTCTCCATGTGATGCAATATGTGTTTGCTATCTTGCCATTTCCGTACAGACCTACAGTGGTTCAGTGTCCAAACGGTCTCTCTCATTGGACCACCATCCAAATCTACACTGATACTTACAGGCAGACCGGCAGGGTTGGCCAGGCTCGCTGGGGTCGCGTAAAGTGGCAGATTTCAGAGTCGCGACGAACACGCGTTTGCTGTCATTGGACACTCGGCAATAGGTCAACCACAAAAGGTCACCACTCCCCGCCTGAGTTTGCTGTAGCAACCGTGATAGAGGGGCTGCCCATTGTTTGCAAAGCGCAAGGGTCGGGTAATTTACATCGGACGGGAGTGAATACGCCCATCATACAAATAATCCAGGCACACTTGGATGGATTGGGATTCTTATCGCGAATCTTTGATATCCGTTTCCCTTGCAACACCCGACACAACCTCACTTCCTCCCTCCCACCTTGCTTCCTCCTCACCAAGATCGAATCTGTTAGGGCTGTCTCACATCTACCCCGCTTTCCCTAGCAGTGCCTAGCACCAAGAGGAGTCTAACCCGAGACCTGCCTCTCTCACCTTCTCGTCGTCGAGATTGGACCGCTGCCTCTTTTCTTTTTCTTCTCCCATCGACCCCTCCATCTTGTCTGGTCGTTGGAAATACTCCCGGTCACTTACACCTTCTATCGCCAAATAACCCACCGTCACAAATCAACCATCTTTCACCACAACAACTCCTCCATCCAGAGCTTCACTCGTCCCCGTCGAAATACACTCAGACCCGTACTGTAATTATCACTCCCTTGTTGTCACCAAGAGATAATCATCACGAACTGGTCTGGTCGATGGTGTAATCGGCCTCAGCTGGATCTGAGGTTTCCATGATTCCTTGCTGAATCGCATTTCCAAAGGGTGAGTCTAGTGTTTATCATGGTAAGTTTATGATAATCACTTTCACCTTTCCTTCCATCACTTGCTGCTTTATTCTTTCTTCTCTGTCACGATATCCTGACGCATTCGATAGACTCAAACAAACATGCGCCGCGCAAATCAACATGCCCGCATCAAGCGGGAACCTGGTTTCCAGCAGCCCATGCCGAACTCGGGCCTCGCTAGGATTGACGAGGACGATAACTCGACGGTGGCACACTCGGAAGTTGAGAGACGCATGCAGCGGTCAGATGCCCGTAAGTCAAGTCCAGATCTCCTCATTTATTATGTGATAACCAACTAACAACATGGTCACAGCTAGCGTGGACACCAGACTTGCGCCTGGCGCGTCGGTCATTGGCGACATGGACGTCGACGGTGAAGACGAGGATGATGAATGCATGCTGATGGAAGTGAAGACCAAGACCGAAGTCGTGGAGCAGGACCTTCCTACACCCCGGAGCTTCGTCAACATGGATCGGTCGTTTATTGGCCCCGGCCAGGCACTCAAGGATTTTGGCCAAGAGCTCAAGGATATCAACGATGCCTTGGGCGAACTCCAAGCAAGAGGCATTCAACATGTCGTCAGCCTCCCAGAGCTTGTTCTCGTGGGCGATCAATCCTCCGGAAAGTCGAGTTTGATGTCAGCCATTGCTGGCCTCAGTCTTCCAAGAAGCAGCGGAACCTGCACGAGATGCCCAATCCATATCCGCATTTCCCGTGCCGACGAATGGTCATGCCGTGTGTTCCTCAAGGAGGACTATGCCTTTGTCCCGCGCAACCATCCTATCACTCTCCAGGATGTCACCGATCGCGACAGGTTCCCACCCTGGGTAAAGTTGGACCCAAGTCGACAGACTCGCAAGGAATTCAAGACGATTCGCGACCGCTTCGATGCCGAGGAAATTGAGACCCTCCTCCGCTGTGCTCAGGTTGCCATCCTCAATCCTAGCACGCCTTACCGCTTTTTCGTTCCCCGTCTCAAGAATGAGAGTGGACAATCTGACGCCGCTCGCCGCGAGCATCTGGATCGGATCAAAGAGAAGGAGGCCCACAGCGAAGCCCAATTTTCACCCAACACGGTCGCCCTCGAGGTCAAGGGTCCTGACCTTGCTGACTTGAACTTCTATGATCTTCCGGGTGTCTTTATCACTGCCAAGCGCGCTGAGGATAGATTCTTGGAGCGAGTTGTTCGCAACCTCACATGCGAATACATTTCCCGCCAGAATGCCATCATCCTCTGGGCAGTGCCTATGAACCAGGATGCCGAGAACAGCTTCGCCTTCAAGCTGATTCAAGAAATGAACGCAGAGGATCGCTGCGTTGGCGTCATGACCAAGGCGGACCTTTTGCCTAGGGAGACCAACGGCTTTTCCTCTTGGCTCTCGATGCTGAACGATAAGGCCCATCACACAGGTTTGGGCTACTTCATCACATCTCGCCAAGGTAGTGACTTGGACGAGCAGAACAAATTTGAAGAGGCTTTCTTCAACAGGACTGCGGACTCAGCGACTATGGGCCAGTGGCCAGAGATTTTTGAGAAATACCGTGATAGGTGTGGTATCGAGAAGTTGAAAGAGTTCTTGTCCATCACTCTTGGCCGTGAATTCTCCAAGGTGTAAGTCTTCCCTATTTTCCCCAAGGTGACATCTCGTGGTGTGGCTCTGATGCTGACTCGTTTTGTTTCAGTCTCCCCGAAGTCAAGCAAAAGGTTTACAACCGTCTGCTCAGGATTGAGGAGCAGCTCGAAAAGTACCCCAATCCCCCGCCGAATCCTGAGATGGAGATCATGCGCAGCTTGGCGGAATTCGCGACCAACGTCAAGACCCGTGTACTGCAACAAGAGTTCATGAGTCAATGGGACTGCCTTTTTGCTGAGCCGTTCAAGAAGAGAATTCTCGGCTGCAAACCGAAATTCAACGTCAAAGAGCCGGACGTGATTACTATCGACGATAACAGCCCGATGACCACTCCGGCTCCACTGGGACAGACTCCCAGAAAGAGGTCCATGGTACATGATATCGCTATGACGCCTTCTAAACGCCGTGGCCAAATCAAGGTCGAGGATAGCGACCGCATGATCATGTCTCCGTCGACATCTGCCACCATGCGGGGTACCCCAGGTCCCGGAAACTTCCCCTTCTCTCCCGGACCTGGCGGCGGACCCCCTCCTCGCTCCAAGAACCTGATGGAGCTTCGCACGATCATTAGACGGAGCGCCATACCTGGCCAGCCTGGGCTTGTATCGGCCTCCGTCTACGAGCCGCTCTACACCGAGGCAGCCAGAACCTGGGGTCCTCACCTCGAGAATTTTGTGAACCACACCATCCAATTTCTCCAAAACGAGGTCATGAAAATTCTCGATAACGCTTTCTCCAACCTCAAGAACCGGGCCGTTTACCGTGAGTCAGTCGAGCACATGAAACACTTTATGGAGAAACATAAGGAGGAGGTTCGGAACCAATTGAACCTCATATATAATCTCGAGACGCAGAGAATCTTCACAAAAGATGAAGATGCGCTCCAACGCAACAAAGCCGCAGAAAAGCGCATCCTAGAGCGCCACCGCCACTTCCTCCGCATGGCGGTCCGAACCGGCGAATCCCCAGCCATTCGTAAGATGGAGGAGCTGACGGAGGAGGAGCTGGTACAAGAGCAAGCCAAGATGGCCAAGGAGCTCAAAGTCATTGGACCCGACCCTTACGACCAAGAAATTACGGTCGCCGCCTATGTGCGCGGCTACTATCTGACGGCAGCCAGCCGTTTCATTGATATTGTCGCTATTCACATCATGTCGGGCCTTTTACCCAGAGTCGCCTCCGTGATTGATACCTACCTGCACGAGAAACTCGGTCTGTACAGCCGCACTTTTGGATCGGGGCCGGAGATCTTTATGAGACTGATGAGCGAGGGCCCCGAAACAGAGCGCAAGCGCGGAGAGCTGAGGGTCGAGAAGGAAAGGCTGGATCAGGCGATGGAGATTATCGTCAATTTGGAGAATAAGGAGCAGATGGCTACGGCTACGGCGGCTAATTCGCAGGTGACGACGCAGATGATGAGCCAGGGTCATGGTGGTCAGAGGCCCGAGTTGAGCATTAGGACGAATGCGAATGGAGGGGTGGCGACGCCGGTGAGTGAGAGGGCGCCGACGCCTATAGGGACATATGAAGCTTGAGAGGGAAGTCTAGAAAGTATGTGGGCAAAATGTGCAAAGGATGAATGGATGGAAAAATACGGTGTTTGTACAGATGGGAAGGATTTGGTGTTTATCTTGTTGTTGTCGGAGTTGAGGTGGGATATACCTTGCTATACCTGTTGCTTTGTATGAGTTTGCTTTGTGGTCTGAAGACCGGTGTGTTATAAATGGTCTACGCTTATAGACAGGAGAAAGAGAGGAATGTGTATCCAAATAGTTTCCCGTGGGTACTATCATCCATGGGTAGCCTCAAACAAGCGTTGAGGCCCTTGTTGATATCACTGGATTGGAACTTTTCGATGGGGAAAGAAGATAAACCAGGCCCGGAATTGAGGTCGTCACCTTATATCCCGCGATTGCGGAGAGAGGAACCATAACTGGCACATACCTCGAGTGGTAGGCATACAAAGGCGTCGATGTTTACTTATCAGTTGCTGGACTGTCAACATTCACAGGAGAGAATTTGCCACGAGCTCGGGTCTTTTCGTGGGATGGCAAGATTGTCGGGGTTAAATGCTAGACAGATGATAGCTATTTTGCCGCCCAACAGCTTCACTTCAGGAAGTGTTGGGTACGAAGCAGACGGATTGAGTTCAAGTTGTCAATGTAGATCGGCAATGATGACCTATACAATACGAGACCTGTCCACTTGTTCCTCCTCTCGTGTGATGCGCGTAATCACTCTGTCATTCAACTTACCGAGACTGCTTTTTGATTCAGACGGAGCGTCTAGTGAATTACTCCTCCGGAAGCATTATATTCCTGTCATCTTCTTCGGCCCGTCCCAGCTCACCTGATGCTCCTTTCCGTCATACGAAGTCGGAGGGTTTGGTCATGCCAGGCGTAGCAACTGCGAGTTCGCAGCTTCAATTTAACCATCGTGAGGCAGTCGTCATCCGCCACTATCAAAGTCCTGTGTTCATTTTAGACTACGAGGTTCCCTCGCTTTAATCCCTCTTCCTGTAGGGGCAACCAGCCAAGATAGATTGATCTCTTGAATTATGTCAACACATACTTCCGCCCCAGCTCTCCTGAAGTCTGCGAGACCTATGGTTATGGCAAACTGCTCAGTCATGACACCGGCCATCCACCGGCCATCTGCACTGCTAGATTACTCGTGATTATCCCGCCCTGACAACATGTGTTATGTCCCATGCAACTCAGACTTGCTCATTCCATCGCGGCATCACGATAGTGAAATATAGCCACAGGAATTCGGGAGTTCAGATCTTGTCTTAGCCACTTCGCCCTCAGAGCCTTTCCCCTCAGGGCAAGGCACATTCCAGCGACACCATAGTCGAATAATCCACCCCACGTCAACATCTCAGTCGTACACCACTTTCAGGTTGAGATTTACTTCTGAATTGCCTCTCTGACGTTTGGCAAGCTGACTATTCGGTCATGAGAGCCGAGTGTGTATGCCACATCCATCATCACATTAACCGCCAAGACAGACACCCAAAGCTACCCCTTTATCGCTCCCTGTGCCTGACATCGGGCCATAAACTCATGGAATGCGAGAATGTGAGATTGAGTCCCAAAATGCCGCCCACATTCCCAGCACTATGCCGAGTCACCTACAAGCCTCAATCTTTCGGCTTCACTTCTCCGAGGTGTTCGCCTCCCCACCCCATTCCCAAGCCCTAGACTCCAAGAGGCAATCACAACCTCATCATCAGACCGCGCTGGCATGCTTTCTGTAAGCGCCACTTACACTCGGTGAGCTATGCCAATGCAGCCAGGATTTTCCGGTAAACTTTTCTGATAAACAACGCGGCAAAGGCCTGGATCACCAGACCAAGGGCCGGTATAAATACCACGCTGGCGCCATACCTTCCTCCTCCTCCTTGCTGACAGACACAACAGAGGCATCATCATCTCAGTTACCAGTCTTTACCCTTTCAGAGAAAGGTGCCCTGCCCTCATCTCATAGACGTTTATCACCTAAACGACTGCCAACAATGGCGCCCTCATCCCGCTCCGTTCTCCTCCAAGGAGCGTTCCTCCTCCCCTTCCTCGTCTCCTCCATCGCCGCCTTCCCCTACAACACCAACAGCAACGCCAACTCCAAAGCAGTCGACGCCAACCTCAACCTCCTCAAGCCCCGCTCCCACTTTCCCACTCTCTTCAAACGCCAACAAAACACTACCACCAATTCCCCCGCTGCCGCCGACATCGACGATGATGACGACTCGGACTCTTCCATCACAGCCAACCCCCCATCCAACCCAGGCAACCGTCTAGGCTGCTACCGCGACGACTCCCCCACCTCCCGCCTTCTCCCGACCTCTTTCACCGCCTCCGACACTCTCACACTTGACTCCTGCGCCATCTTCTGCGGTTCTTCCTCCCCTAACTTCGGCGTCGAATACGGTCGCGAATGCTGGTGCGCCTCTTCCACTTCGGGATTCAGTCCCACTTCCCCCTCTACTGTCGCCGCCAAGGTCGACGACGCACAATGCTCGTTCCCCTGCGCCGGTGACCGCATCGAAGTGTACACCAACGCTTTGTACCGCCCTCCTCGCGTGGCCAACGTTCGAGGGTTCGATTACCTCGGCTGCTACCGCGAGTCGTCGCCGCGCTTACTCCCCAATTCTCTGCTAGGGGACGATACCCTGACAGCCGAAAAATGCGCTGCCTACTGCACCGACTTGTCTTTCCCTTACTTTGGCGTCGAGTACGGTCGCGAATGCTGGTGTGGCGTGTCCCTGCCTGATGCCGCGCAGCAGGTTCCCGAGACGGAATGCAGCATGACTTGCGCCGGAGCTGGTGACGAGATCTGCGGTGCGGGCAACAGGATCAATGTGTATGGGAGGCAGATGGTCATGCCAGCCGATGTCGGGGACTACGCATACCAGGGCTGTTATACCGATTCGCCCGTGCCGAGCGAGAAGAGTCTGACGGGTACAGTCATGTACGATGCCGAGATGACGCTTGATGAGTGCCGACTGAGCTGTCAGGAGGATGGATACCCTTATTTCGGCACCGAGTACGGCAGCCAGTGTTTCTGCGGGACCAAGCTCTATGATGGCAACGACTCCGATAACGAAGGCGACTATCCCGCTAGAGCTTTCCTGGTTCCCGACAGAGAATGTTCAATGCGGTGCGGAGGCGACGCAACGAACGCGACTACTTGCGGCGATGCCAATCGGCTGTCGGTGTACTGGAACGGTCTCGTCAGCGGAGCACGGAACTTGGGCCCGTTGGACCCTGAGTTTGCGAGCTTGCAAAACTGGAACTACCGAGCGTGCATGAGGGATGATGTGGTGCAGAGGACCTTGACGGGACCGACGTTGAGGAGAAATGACATGACTGTCGAGACTTGCGTGGCGTTTTGCAACACTGGGGGTTTCCTGTATGCTGGGCTGGAGTTCCAGAGCGAGTGCTACTGCGGAAATGAGTTGAATGGTGGTGATGATGTTGAAGAGGTTGATGATAGCCAGTGTGAGCAGCTGTGCGCTGGAAGTGAGACTGAGTATTGTGGAGGCCCCAATAAGTTGAGCTTGTACCAGCGTGCGGTGCTTCTGGGGCCTGATGAGATGTAGATTTTGATTTGGAGGGCGGTTGGGAGTCCTTGGTGAAGGTTTCGCCGCGATGACGAGTGGCTTTTTTCCCCTTTTCCTTTTCGGAGATCATACCCGATGGCTGAACTTGGTTATATCGTTTGGATATCAGACGCGGATTGTTTTTTGTTTGTGTGTATGTCGCTTTTATTACGAGTTCCTAAAACTACTGTCGTGCCTTGACAAGTATCTGTCTCCCATCCATGCGATTGTTTGCTTCTGCTGCGAGTAAAATAAAGTCTTTGCCTGCTTTTGCTCCGCTCATCACTAACAAGTCCTGGTGTAAGCAATCTCGGACGTACAATATATATATATATACTTTCTTTCGGTGGTCAAACAAGCCGACCAGTTCCGTTTTCAACCTGAAACGCTGTTGTTGTGGTTGTTGTTCTGTGTTTCCACTTGTCTGGTTGCTCCTGGCTTTTGAGTCGGGTGTAGTTTCGATCATCCTCTTAGAGGACGCCCTTCCAACAAATGGAAGGATTCAAAGGCATATATAATGTCCCGGCACTGTGCTGTGTGGCACCGAAAAACCGATGTTTGACAAGAAAGAAAAAAAAAAAAAAAGAAGAAGAAATCCCGCCGCCCGGAAGAACGCCTGATTCCCTCAATGACAAAAAATAAGAGAAAATGTCGTCGTCAAGTTTCGTTGCACGGGTTAGTCGAAATGCAGCAAACAGCCCGCCTCGTCTGGATATATATATATACCACACATGGTGCTGTGTTGGTCAGGTCGAATCAGGCTCTTCAAACTTGGAGCCAGGAAAGAGGAAAAAAATACCGAATTGCCGAACGGTTCGCAGCATCGCTGACCGAAAAAAAAAGGTGCAAGTCCAGTTGTTTGCCGCTTGTTGTAAATGTCATCATAACACCTCGTCGAAACCACCATGCCATGTGTTTTCTTGAATCACTCCCAATCTCCACTTCGTCCGTTTTGGTGGCCAGTCCAGATGACAGCAAGTCCCCTCCCTTGGGATGAATGGCACTCGTACAATTTGTTGAACCAGGGGGTTGTCGCCGTCAAGACAAGAGTCGGCAAAGACATGTTGGTGCCTGGCGATGCACCACCATAATCCGCACGCACACTACTAGATGATCATGTCGTCTTCCTCGCCTTCGTCGTCTTCTTCAGCTCCGCTATCACTTGCAAGAGCCTCGATATCCTGCCAGCCATCGTCCGAAGCAGCATCACCATCATCCTCCTCCTGATTCTGAGCAGCAGCAGCAGCATTCTGACCACCACCAGCGGCAGCAGCAGCATTCTGCTGACCTGCAACACTACTCTGACCAGTAGTAGTAGTGGCCTGAGCATCATCAGCAGTCAGATTACCGCCGCCGCTTCCACACGCACCGCCGCCACCCTTCTTTTTCTCGGGTTTAGGAATGGGCCTGCCCTTCTGGTCCAACACAGGCAGCTCATTCCACAGCGTCGAAAAGTTGGGGTGTTTCCTACAACTCCTGCTAGCGACGGTCCGCCTCACGACGTGGATCCTGCAGCGCCTGTTCCTGTTAATTAAGTGGCACATGGGTATGAAGAATTGGCCGGGTTGCTCGAAGCCGGCCAGGACCAAGTTCATCAAGTTAGGAAACTTGCGCAGGCCGAAGCGCATCTGGTACAGGGTCCACGTGTTGATGGGCGTGACGTGGTTGGGGTCCCACTGGCGGTTCCAGTGCATCTCCAAGACCTGCTGGTGTCCTCCCGTTAATGAACCGGCGGGCCCGGCGGGGATGGTGACGGGGCGTGTTTGCATCGCGTGCTTCTCGGCAATGACGGCCAGCCGGGTCAGGTTGGGTGCCAGGCCGGACAGGGCGAGGATCAAGTCCGAGTAGTACGAGTCTGGGCGCGAGGAGCGCTCGGCGCGGATGCGGATGTGCAGGTTGCGGACCGACAGGGCGTTGTTGGGACCTATCAGGCGGAGCCAGTTGCAGCTGCGGTGGCGGGCACAGTCCTGGGCGTCCGGAGAGTCGTCCCGGTGCTCGTCGCAGGGCTCGAGAAAGACAAAGGTGTTTTTACTGTACAGGACAAAGGCGGCCTCACGGGATATCTGCTTGTCGACGTACAAGAGACTCAGGTCAAGACGGGGCTGGGATTCCCAGACGCCGGCCACGTCGGCGGCGGTGGGGATGGTGAGCAGTTGCGAGTAAATCATGTTGCGGACCTCGGCGGGCAGTTCCAGGAAGCGCCAAAACCGAGGGGGGCGATTAGCACATTGTCGGTGTGGTTGAATGCGGGTGACACGGAGAGGGCTGTGGCCGGTTTTGGCCCGTTTTGATGGTCTGGCCGACATGGTGGCAGATTAATTCAAGGGAAATGTGCGAAGAACGACGTCAATGACAAAAATGACGCTGTCTGTGGCTGGCGATGATGAGGATGATGATGATGCAGGCAGTGAGTGTGTCGATTTTATGTTGGGCTGGGAAGTTGGTTGTGAGAGGGCACTCAATAACCATGCCCCAGTTCCTCCTGGCCAGGAACCTGGTGATGTTTTCCCGGATGGAGGGAGAATGGTGAGAAGAGGCGACGACGCCGAGGGAACTTTGTGTGATGGAAACTGAAGTATGTGTCGAAGGAGGTGGTGGTGGTGGTGGTGGTGGTTCTTCGTTGATTGAAGGAGTGAAAGACGGGAGGCGGAGATGCCCTGCTGGTCACCCGCCCGACGTCCTCGAGCGTGATGAGTGGTTCCCTTCAGTTGAGTTAGGTTGAGGCTGACAGTGACGTTCCCGGTGGTTGCCATTTCCATGTTCCAGGTTCATGCCTGCTGTTTACCTACGCTGTTACAGCAGGTTAGGCGGTCACTGTTAGCGGAGAGGCCATTGTTGGGCATCTGCTGCTGCCCTACCACGACCATGTACCGTAGAGGTATGTAGCGTCCATAGTGGGACAGTGCAGTGGGTCACGTAGTGTTAGTGTACAACAGGCCCACCCGATTCCCGGTCAGGAGTCCGAAGCCCCAGCCCAGGGAGGGGAGACGGGATGGCAGGCGCCGGCGCAGTGAGATGGATGTCTTGCTGGATCAGGTGCTGTGCATGAGTGTGCAGCTGATCAAACGGAACGGTCCGCACAGACCAGACGGATGTATGTACGCAGTACTTGTGAAACGCGGGGTAAGTTACCCACCATAGTGCTGTGTATGTAACATTCAAAGGCTTCAGTTTACGATTCAACAGTCAGCAGATGATGAACGATCATATAGCTGCGTTTTGGACAGGGAGGCGCACTCTGATTGAGCTTCAATCTCTTATTACTATAAGTAGCTCACTTTATTTTGCTCTTGTCATGTAGTCTGAACTACATGCCGTGTAGTCGAGATCCGGAGTGGACCTATAACGACAACGAACTTCCTGGCCCCGCCGTTTTGGGCTCCGTAAATTGTGGAGATTCCGCCGTCTGTAATCCAATGTAAAGACCACCCGTACCCGTTTCCATACATCACAGTGCTACTACTGCAAGTACTTAGCCCAGACCTTAACCCAACGGCAGCTCATCGGGTACATTTTCCTTCAGTCTCTCTCTCTTCACCATCATCGGTGAACTTCCTACCCTTTTCGTTTTCAACACATTTCAACCAAACAGCTAACTGTGGTTGGTTCGGAGAAAACTTGGCGTTCTTTGTCTTGTTTTCTCTCATACCGAAATTTTACCCGTAACCGACTTCTTTGTCGAATCCTCACGATGCTTACCATGTTACGTCTACATCGATATGTCCAAGTCGAGGCAGCAATGATGGAAGCTCGTGTCCGTCATATTCCTAGGTACTTCAATGAATTCCATTGAAGATGCTCTCGGCTTCTTGTTAACTATTCTAAGTCCATTGACCAAGTTCGCTTGCGATGGATATCAACATTTTGACAATGGAATATTCTTCTTTCCGCCATTTCATCCAAGATACCGAGCTGTATTACTCGAAGATGTCTGGAAGGGAAAAGGCGGAAGCCAGATAAAACGACCTCGGCGAGGTCGGATAGGTGGTTGAAATGCCGAATTTGGAAGTTGTGAATGGGACCGGGCTCAAGGGCCAACACGGCAACAGCCAACAACCCGCTCGTGTTGGGTTGTCCTTCCAGCCAAGGTTGACCAGCAATGACACAACACAAACAAGGCAACCGCTATCATGACACTTCCTTCGCAACCCTTCACCTGCCTTTTGGGACAGGTGAAGAGTCCTCGCGATAGACCTTCAGGTTCACCTCCAGCCGAACCGGTAAACCTCTATGACTTGACACTGCAACCTCGAAGCATATAGACTTACCTCCTTTATTTCTCTTCCCACCACAAATCCCTCCACCACTTTTTATACCCAGCTCATTTGTGTCATTGCAGTATACCTACCCATCCTTAGCTTACGGCTCTTTTCGACAATATCAACACCCATCTTATGATGGATTCCGACTCAGCTCTCGACTCCGAGGTTGAAGTCGACGTGGTCATAGTCGGCGCTGGCCTAAGCGGCTTAAGAGCAGCTGTCGAACTGCACAAAGCAGGCCTCACAATCGCTGTCCTCGAAGAGAGCAACCGTGCCGGTGGTCAGTGTTGCACAACTTTTTCTCGTCATACGACCAGGATCACGTTCATAGGCGACACCCACACCGAGATGCTCTCTCTAGCCAAGGACTTCAAGATCGACCTCACCAAGCAGCACAAGGAGGGACTGGACCTCCAACAGCGTTATGACGGTTTTCAAGACAGCCCCCAAGTTTCCGAAACCATCCCGGCGCTTGAAACAGCCGTCTGGCCACCTGAAGAGTACCAACTTTCATTCAGGTCACTGATCGAAGACCCCGCAATCCAGAAGTTCTACCGCCGCATCTCCGATCTCTCTGAAACCTGGCATGGCCCCGACGCCTTGTTTCTCGACGCGGTCTCCTTCCTCGAGCTCGTGGAAGCTAATTTCTTCCACAGCAAGGCGGTCCATCAGGAAGCCCACTTTCTCACCAGTTATCTCCTCAGCGCTGACCCCGCCCGCGTCTCGGCTCTCTACGTCCTCGACCACATCGCCTCCGGCGGCGGGCTTGCCAACCTCTACTTCCACCCTGACTCCCCTGGAGGCGGCGCCCACCATTTCCGCGTCCCACAGGGACCGCGAGCGTTCATCACCAGCCTAGCCGACCTTCTTCCTGAGGGATGCATCCATCTCTCCACCATGGCCACCACAATCACCCAACAAACCACCCCCATCAGCAAGATTTACTACCCCTTTCACCCATGCAAAGTCGAAACCTCCCCTCCCTCCGATAGCGACTCCACCGCGAGCACCACCACGAAAACCTTCTACGCCAAAAAGGTCCTCCTCGCCACACCCCCCGCATTATACTCCCCTTGTTGGTCCCACCTCCCCGAAGTCCTTACCTTCCACCCGCCTCTGCCTCCCCACAAGCTCGCCTCCATCAACCGCCACAGCGGCCGCTACAATAACTACGGCATCTTCACCACGGTGACCTTTTACTTTTCCCAGCCCTGGTGGCGCGAGGCCGGGCTGTCGGGATCCATGGACTGCCGGGTTACTCGGGATCTCGACGGGCCGATTTCGTGGGTGAGAGACACGAGTGAGGATAAAGGTGGTGGCAAGATAAACACAAACAAGAAGGTGTGGAGTTTAACCTGCTGGTGCGCAGGCGAGAACGCGTATGAAGTCTGGAAATGGTATGACAAGACCTACCCGGTGGATGATGAAAAGCCAGAGGAGATTAAGGGTGGCTGGAAGGCGAGTCCGGTGTGGATGCATTTGCTGAGAGTGTTCAAGGAGCGGATGGATGCCCTGGAGATGGAGATTCCATTGCCGAGGAAAGGGTCCTTAAATTGGAAGGAGGAGGAGGAAAAAGAGAGGGAGAGAGAAGAAGGTGCGGGACCACCGATTACGTACAATGTGAGATGGTGGATGGGGATGGGGGTTACGCCCCCGAGGGAATTGCCGAGCGATGGGGAAGAATTGGAGGAGCTGTTGAGGACTTGGGAGTATGATGGGCCGGGAAAGGGAGATGCGACGATGAGAGACCCGTTCAGAAATGTGCATTTTGCGGGCACGGAGACGGCAGAGGAGTGGAGGGGTTTCATGGAGGGAGCGGCGAGGAGTGGGTTGAGGGGAGCGAAGGAGATTATTCAGGCGTTGAAGAAGAGAAACTTCAAGGACGGAGAGGGTGGAAAAAAAAAAGGTGTTGAAAGCGCTCTTGTAGGTGAGGATATGAGTGAGAGAGTTGGAGGAAGGATGAGGGTTGGGAAGTGACGAGCCGCCTAGAACAGTGAGTGCCCACTACTGGTAGCTCGAGCGGAGTAGAGAGACAACTGGATAGCCTAGAGAGAAGCACCAGGATAGAAGCAAGAAGAGAGAATTGGAGCGTAACGAAGGTCGGAAGTGGTGATACATGGCATGATACGAAAATGAAGTCGTGACAATCGTGACGGCGGTGAGCGGCGTATCCTGTCAGACGAGGGACAGCCGCACAAAATTGGACATCAAAAAGAGACTGTGAAAATAGCAGAAGCAAGATGAGAAGATATGTGAAGAAATGTAGAACGCTGGATCTTGGAAATGAAGTTTGCTGTTGCGAACTCGGGCTGGAAACCGCCGACTCCGCATCCTGGCACCACCGGAAATGCGGGGTAGTTTGTGCCCCGATAAGTAAGTAAGCGCACCGCCACGGCGCCGGAGAGATCCGATCCATAGCCGGTGCCGGGGTCTCCGAGTCGGGTGCAAACATCGGAAATGACTCGTAAACTACAATGCAACAAAACGACTGCAGTAGAAGAACAAAACATCATCACCACCGTCTATCAAGATCACGCTATTGAAGGCTCAAAACAGAAGCAACAAAAAAAAATCACAAAAAGAATGCCGAAAGTGGGGTTCGAACCCACGCTCTCTCGCGAGAACTTGAAGACCTTAAGATTGGAGAAAATCAAACTTAAGTCAAGCGCCTTAGACCACTCGGCCATTTCGGCAGTAAATTGTACTAAATTGCGCTAAACCATGGATCCATGTATGCCACTGACGCCTGAACTGTTTGCACATTTCGGACATTAACGACCGTCTTCTACAATACCTGACAACGTTACTATCCTGACATATTATTCTGAATTATGTTGGCCTGCTGTTCATATTTCTGTTCATCTTTCCTGTGTTTTTGAGTTGGGAGTCCCTATAATGCGCGTTGCATTGCGCTGTCTGGTACCTCTCATGTTGCGTGACCTTTGCACCCCTTTCTTGGGCTTGACGATGGTTTCAGATCATGTCGAGGGTTTTGTCCGTACTAACTGGCTTCTAATTTATCTCAGTATTCTACCAGTTGCTCGCTATACGGCAATCGTTATGATTGTATCATGTCCCCCAATACCAGCGCTCAAAACAATTAACCGTGCCTTCAAGTGCTCGCTCTCAAGGCACCTCATCAGCATGGACGCTGAACTTTTCGATGCTATGAAGGGCACACACATTCATGAGGTGGTTCCATGTACTTGTCACAGAGTTGGTTGAGACACATCGTCCATTTCTACATCTCCAACCTCCCAAACCAAAAGAACAAAGGACAGCATTTGATGCATTTATAAAAACGTCGCGGTTTCAACTCGCATACATCAATTTATGTGTTTTCGAGAATGACACCCCATCATGAATAAAAAATAATCAGTTTGTTAAAGAAATATACAATGGAAAGTAAATAAAGGGTAGGTACAGCAAAGAAGAAAAAACCAAAGTAAAGAAGAGCCGACAATCTGCTCCCATCAAAGCTCCTCCTCCCTTAATGGACAAAGTAAATCATGTACCCTAACATAATCCTCATCCTTCCTTTTATTCCTACCCCCAGACCCGCAGTGTCAGGAATATCCACTGGCACATCCTGCCTACCTACCTTTTCCAGAAGTAACCCGGCCCAATCCTCGCATTCATCGTCAAGTGCTCATTAATTAGAGGCATTCGTCCTACCATCCTCAAGAGGGACTTCTTCTTACCATCCCCACTGAGCCTCCCCCTACGCTTCTTCTCGCTCTCTTGTGGAATTTTATCCCATTCATGCGTGCGAGCTACTTCTCAGCTTCTTTGCACGATACACTCGTATACCCCACGCATTGTCCTCGTCTCCCTTTTCCTGCCTTTATTGCAGGTGGTCATTTCATTATCATTATCATTCACACTCCTGGTTCTCGTTTCCCCTCTTGTCATGTTTGTGGTGGTGGTTATCTCCAGTTCGCTCGGCCTTCTGTTGCGTTTTTTCCTGGCTTCTGGTCTCTTGGCTTCTGAGTGGGTGAGCAACTTTATCGAGGCGATCTGTTCCAGGTTGTGCTTCGTGTTGCCTTCTGTAGTAGTAGTCGTCGCTTTTTAGTGGTCGTCGTTGAGGAGGAGGAACCTGGATGAGAACGAATCTTGGTCTTTTCTTCTTCCTTCCTCTTCTTGAGCTTCAACTCAGGCCTGTAGTCGTCATCGTCTTCACTTTTGTACTCACTGCCCCACCCTTCATTGACACACCACCACCCACTCCCCACCACCAACCCTTTCTTTGTTCCCAGCCTATTTTAATTCACCTCCGTTGAATTCACCAACTCCACCAACTCCATCCACCAACTCCATCCACTCACAACTTCGCCGTAGGCCGCATCGGCGCATTCGGCGTCGCCTTCGTCACCGTCACCGGAATAATCACCAACGGATCATCATCATTTTCCGCCGACATTTCCAGCGTCAACTCCCGTTCCGGCGCCTGTCTCACCCACGCATTATACTTGTCTCCCCTAATAGTACACTGCGTACCGGCCGGCACATGCATGGCGCCCGTCCACCTCCCCGAGGCGCAGCGGTAGTAAACAAACCCATAGTTTTGGTTGCGAGGCAGGTGGCAGATGTACCACCCGTCTTGGTACGCGGGGCAGGCGCCAGTGGGCGGGACGGTTTCGGGGAGGGTGCCGTCTGACCTTTTTTTGATGATGGATTTGGGGGAGATAGGAATGGTGGAGGTTAAGAGGGTTGAAGGGGGGATGGTGTTGGAAGTATATGTAGGGGGTGTAGTCGCTACTGGAACGCGGTCGTCGTCGAGCGATGGCTTGGTGATACCTCGAGAGACACCAGCTGGGAATGATGTGCTTCCGTTTATGTTGACTTCAGGCGCGCCAGTCACAGAGACAGCCGCAGGAAAAGCGGCCGTACCCGCTGTACCCGTAGCCCCTGTCTCGCGCTCGATCATGGGAGTTGCCGTCCCATTAGCAACGGGATACGGAGCCGGAGTTGGAGTTGGAGTCGCCGCTTCTCTACCAAGGGTACCTCCACCAAGGGCACCACCAGTCGGCTTCTGACACCCCTGCCCCGTAGGCGCAGCAAAAGCATCAGTCGCTCCATTCGCCTTCTCCACATTCCGCCCCGGATTAGGAAACAGGATATCTCTATTTTCGGGGGTACCACATCCATTATCAAGATTCGCCACAAGGATATCCGGCAGCTTCTCAAACGTTTCTTTCGCTCCCGGCTTCTCCTCGCCCGTCAGCTGCACGGGCCCGCACGCCATGTACATCTCGCGATACCCCATCTTGTTGAACCACGTCCAGGCGATGGTGCCGTTGCCCGCGGGGATGTCGTCGGGGATGCTGTACTCGTAGGAATCCGGGTTGACTTGGACGGCGCTGGCGCCGGGCCGGTTGCCGGCTTCGCTGCGGGCGATGCAGCCGCCTTCGATGGACTTGATCACTTTGAATTTGCTCTGGGGCGTGGGCGGGTTGTCGTACGTGATGGAGATTTGGCAGGAGCCCCCGCCGTGGACGGCGGTTCCGATGAGTCGGAGAGGCTGTTTGGAGCCGAGGGGAAACACGTTGTAGCCGGAGGAGGGCAGTTGGAGGCTGGCGCCCGCACCGCCGTGGCAGGGGAAGGAGGCGCCGTTTATGGGACCGTTTCCTTGTTGAGGGGATGCGTAGGGGATGGGGAATGTCATCATGGCATGGGAGGCGACGAGGGGGGTGAGTGTGGTGAGGAGGAGGAAGAGGAAGGCAAAGACCTGCCTTGCTGCCGTGGCAAAGGGTGTGAAGGGTATCATGTTTGCTCTCGTAGCCAGACTTTAATTATCAAGTGTCTGTCTGTCGAGTGTCGAGACTCGAGGTGGAAAAGTTCTTGGCGGAAGAAGACTCAAGAACGGGACGAACTAGCATTCGAAGTTTATTCGAATAGAAGGAGGGAAATGAACGTGAAGAAGGACAAGACGAGGGAGATGCTCGAGATCAAGGATTTTCAGCAAAGTTATTTCATTCGATGCTACTCAGCAGTCCGTGATGAACAGTACAGTTGCTCTCCCGCAATCATATCCCATGGTCTATGAGTACCCGCTTCTTTGTACCTGAAAGCCACGAGTCATTGTTCAATGCCCATTGTGCACGGCTGGGTCACTCAAAGGCTTGTTACATGGACGCGGAATGGACGCGGAATGGCGGAAAGTTCCATTGTCAGTCTGTCGAGGGTCAAAGGGGGTTGCTTTGTTACCACCAGGCGATAGGCGGGTTGAGTCGGTTGAGGTGGTAGACGACAGGCTCAAAGTCTAGTCCAACACGTGCTGACTGTGGAAGAGATCGAGATCTTGCTGTGTTGTAACCTCATCGTACAGAGTCGGAAGCGGGATGTAACAATACTGGTGATTTGACTCGTGATATAAATGGGAGATGCATGGCCAGGCGGGAAGGGTGTACTGACCTAAGCCCGGATTCAGATGATCCCCCCCTGGCTGAAGATACATGACACTCTACTGTTGTCCATCCATCAAAGCAGAAACAAAGCGGTGAAACAAGTGAATAGAAGTGTAAATGCTTTCTCAATCCTGGAATGCAGTGAAACATACAGAAAATCGTCTTGCCCTGGAACGGAGCCAAATTCCCGGTGAGACAGTGAAGCGGCCACGAATCCACTTTGCTCCAGGAGACCCACTTTTCCCGGGCGTTTTTCCCGGCAATCTCCGCTTTCGTTACCGGTCTCGATGTGGGCCCATGGACCCGGATCTTGGGTGAGTGCGCTTCTCCCACGACACATAGTGCCCATGATCAAATCTTGTAGTCAAAGGCATGGGCGTTTTATTTGGGCATTGTCTGAACATAAGCTCATCACCAGAGAGGTAAGAGCTGACTGACTGAGTCACCCCCTACCTCCCAAATCCCAACAACACTCCACAACGCCGCTACGGCACAATTAAACATCTCCATACTAATCACTCCATCTAGACCATCAATCTAGACCCAAGTCCCTTTCTCCGTCATCCGACGCCAAAAGTACGGGCTTGTATCTCCTTGTTTCCATGTAGTCTTATCCCTCGCAAAGTTCCATTCAAACCCCTTCCACTCCCCTGCCATCGTCTCCCGCTTAAACACCACCACAAAGTCCCCCACCTTCAACCTATTTGTCCCTCCGACTCCGCTCGGTATCAGCTCTGCCATCGGTTGGGCAAAAGTCATTGTCTTTTCCAGCCCCTCATCGTCTACCATTTCGTGCAATTCGCGTAGCAAGTACCCGTATCCGGTACCGTAAAGTCGCAGAATCAGACCCCTTTCCTCTCTAGTGATGGTGATGAAGACATCCTGGGTGAGTTCGTATCTGCCTCGGAACCTTTCAAGTTCTGGTTTGCCTGCGTGTGGAGGTAATGCCAGCTCACGGAACCGCGAAGCAAGTGTGTGTTCGTACCTCGCCAAATTGTATAGATAGTCAATTTGTATCGCCCTAGCCATCTTTTTCGTGTCTTCACAAATCCTTCTCACAGTCTTGACGATAGATCCTGTATCGTGGTGGGAATCGGAATCTGACTCGGCCAGAAACAAACACTCAGCCAGCAACATCCCGCTCAGGTTCGCAGCGTCGAGTAAGAACCCCCTCGTATTGCAGAGTACTACCACGGCAGTTTCGTGGTCGGGAAGCAACCAGCAAAAAGACGTAGAGCCGACCATGTTACCGCCGTGGTAGAGGGCTAGGTGCTTGTTGTCCTTTTCAGGCTCGGTGATGGGGGGCGTTACAATGTCCGTGTTGCGATTGGGGACATTGAGCTCAGGCTTTGTAACGAAAAAGGTATAATCCAGGTTATCCCCATGGACCTTGCTGTTAATAGCGCTCTCTAATCGTCTGGAGTTGTCGCCATCTGCGCCTGGCCATCTTGGTCTTGGGGAGGCGTTCCGCTCTTCGGGGGTCATGGGCACGGTGACGGTGTTCCAGCCGCCGGAGTAGGTGCATGTGCTGCTGAATGGATTAGAAGACAATCTCCTGTCTATGTACGAGAAGAGATGGTTTATACCTCGCTCGAGAGGGGAGCTGAGATGGTCTTGATATGAGAGAAGCTTGCTGTTTTGCTGCTGTTGTCTTTGGTTGCAAACATCCATAATCTTGCTATAGAACTTGAGAAGATCAGAGGTCGTAGACATGATGCCTGCTGCCGCGGCGACCGGCGGTGGTCCCACAGGACCGGCTCCCGAAGCCTGGGACGGGAGAATTTCGACAGATTGTGGAATGTGGCCGTAGTGTCTGTCGAAGCATTCTGCAATCTTAGTTCTGCAGACCACCCCGTGTGCATCTGTGCATTGCAGAAGTTCCGGCATGACCCCCGTCACCTGAACCGAATGTGACTTGGCAAAGATCTGGGGCTTGCTATTTCTCTCAGCTTCTGTCAACCCAACGAAGGTGTTGTGCATTCCAAGTGGCTCAAAAACCTTTTCACGGACGAATTCTGTCCATGAATGCCCAGTCTTTCTTTCGATAATCATAGCCAATAAGGCAAAACACTCGTTCGAGTAATTCCGGTTGTAGACAAACCCCTCTTGAGACGTGTAAGTATCGTTTGCTGGGAGATGTTGGAGCAGGGAGGTGACAGGGACTATGGTCTTCCATGGAATATCGCCATTGGGGCTTTCCCACAGATTCGTCATCCACTGAAACGAGGAACGAAGGTCTAAAAGGTCACCAATGGTGAGCTCCTGGTTGGTGTATGTCTTCAGTATACCGGGACTGCCTTCAAGCTCTGACAGGACTGCTGACACTGGGGTGTCGAACTTGAGCTGGTATCTCGAAAAGTCATCCATCATAATCCCCACTGCCGTAGAAATAATTGGTTTCGACATTGATGAGATGAGGTAGACAGTATCCTTCTCCGGAAGCGTGGCGACTTCCAGACCCTGAGTCCCCAGATTGACAAAATGTTGCTGGCCATGGCGAAGGACCCCTATGGAAGCCCCCACACTCCCGGAATCTTGCAAAAGCTTCTCGATAGTGGGCTTCGTAAGGGCCAGGATCTCCACCGACAACGGCAACGAAGGTTGCTTGGGAAGAGTTGTTGAGTAACTGGTGTCGTTGATGAGGGTACTAGTTGCTGATACCTTGGGTGAATAAGGGTTGTCGAGGGCCCGTCTAGAGATGCTATCTTGACGACGGTGTCTAGAGGCTTCAGAAGGTGGTTGGTATCTGTCCGTATCCCTCTTTCTGATGGCTTCCTCGTCAACAACCCCCGTACTCTCATGGCAAAAGCCAAATGTTCGTGAAGCAACCAGTTTTGTAGCAGCCATGCATTCACCAAGCACTTCGTCGGCGACGCCAGAGGCACGCGACAGGAACCGCATCGTGAAGAGTCGTTCTAGTCATCGACATCAAAGTTGAACTAGTAGAAAAAAGTCGACGAGCAGCGTAACAAGCGGCCAACAAGCCGCTGTCGTCATGAGAGCTTCGGTGGTTGAGCATCATGGCCATGGACAGGAGCGAGCTGGAGGCATATCAGTAGCCAGTGCCTGGCAAGGGTTACACTTGTGTATCGTCAAGATCGCTTACATGAGTAGGTGAAGCATGGGTTCAGGGACACAAATCGAAGTTTGATGAGCCATCGAGCTTGTCTCCCTCCTGTATGTAGCCTTCTCGACAGGATGACTACCCAATCGGCTCATCTTGATCACGGTACGCAGCGGACAACATGCAAGATCCTGTACCTACTGACGCCTTCCGTCGGTCTCACGCACGCCCACACGATTCGCGACACCATGTCATGACACCACCCTATCATGTTGCGACGCATGATCGATTTCGCTGTGTAGTCCTTAATATGATGTGGGCGGCCGTCGGACTTGTGGAAGCGAGCTAACCGAAGCCGGCGAGGGCGGACCAAAGAAAGGTTTGCTTCTCAACAGAGTGTCGGTCGTGCGGCGAGCCGGCATCGTTCCTTGGTTACGCGAAGTGTGACTCCCTGGATCGGTGATCGGCCTAGGAAGGAAAGGGATAGAACTGCTATATGCCAAGGCTCTTTGACAGCCTTTGATGTGCACTGCCTGGTCGGTGGATTCCAAGAATATAGTTGTTAGGAATCAGAGTCACCGTGGACTGGTTGAGACCAAAGTGATCATGAAGAGTAGAAGAACATGACCAACTGCAGTCTCGCTTTCTTGCGGAACTCTCCATGCGGTGAGGTTAGGGATCAGTCTCCATATCAATCTAGTCCGACAGGGTACATCATTGACGGGGAAGACGGAATGATGAGTGTGTGACGATAGTCTGTCGAAGGTGCTGGGGACGTCTAGAGTGCCTTGGTGTTGAGCAATCGCGGGCAAGCCGATGGGAAACTCTAGCAAACTTTGTTTATTATCAGATGTTCTCATGCTGGTATAAAACAATGCGTCGTCTTTAGTTGATGCTTTGCCACATTGGAGGGAAGGATTTGCGCCATGATCGATGTCTGGATCGGCTACCCCCATTGGTTAAGGGGTGTGTCGAATTCTTCAGCACATTGTGCTTATGCCAAGCTGCTACCCACACCAACTGCTGAGGGCGTTGATGAAGCGAGTGTATCGTAGTGTCAGTGGCGCGGAAGCACGCCGTAGCCGCAAGCCCACAGCAGCGCTAGTCAAGCCCCAGGGTTACATTCTGTTGTGGTGATCCCAAGGGCGTGGACCGCGGGCTATCCCAGGACTTCCTTCAGAGCTGCTTGAAAGGGGCAGACCCGTAGTGCTGGTATCTGGCTCAATTGGTCCTTTGTCCAAGTATAAGAAAGCTAGATTGCTCCGACTCAGAGGCTCAAAGCAGCCACGGGACGACAGCCAGGGGTGTTCAGTCAACTCTCCGTCCATCTCTAGTCTTGCCTGTCTCACCTGTATGGCTATGGTCAGCAACGTTGTCACCAATCAGCCCGAACTCGGTAATGGTGTTTCAATTCCCCCGAATAAACCGGCCAAATATCTTTTTGCCTCTGCTGAGTAATGGGATGCCTGGAGCTTTCATCAGTTTTCATTTGGCTATGGTCTCTTCCCGAAGGTGATTAGCCGCCCGTGTTGACAAGATTGGATGCGAGCTGAAAGAGCACATTGGACTGGCTGTTGTATCGATTGGAGGGCAGAAGCGAAACCAAAGGCGGTGAAGGGCTCTGTCGACTCAATGACTCGATGATGCACTGACTATTCTTGTCAACACAAGTAAACCTAACCCCCATTGAGATATGGAGGGCATTGTTGAGAAAGATGGGTCAACTGACCACCTTCTCTTCTCAGCTCCGCACGGTTTCGGCCAGACTCATGCTTTGCTATTTATAAGTATCGGAGAAGAGTCGGCATCGATTGGCGATAATGAATCGTGGAAACGAGAGTCGGCTTGATGTCTGCTTTCGAGTGCAGTTGCAGATGGATGTGATGTCGGGGATCAGGAAGTTGTTGAAAAAGAGGACTAGGTAGTAACGACGTGAGGCGTCCGACAACGTGCGATGTTGGGAACTGAAACAGACGGAGCTGAAAATACTATACCCTGTCCTGTCAGGTGTACATATGATCTGCCACATCCCGACGTGGCCTGCAAGGTACCGACGTACCCCGCCGATGGTCTGAGACAAAATGACCCACACATCCGTGAGTGGAGCTTCCGATAGCCGCACCGGTCCGGGTGAGAAGTGGGGCGTGATCCGGCTTCCGACATACGACACTCAACTACCGCGGTGCTCTGGAGAAGAAATTGGGAAGATGTGCATTGTTTCCTTCTTATTCATGTGGTCAAGCGTGACCAAAGGGCTAGGGAGATTGACCAATCTCTTCACTGCTGGGGGACACCGGAGGAAACAGCCCAGCCCAGTGCGGGGATCAAACGGCGGGCGACATGGTCATGAACAGTGGACGACGTTTGAGAAAGTGCAACAAAAAGGGTAGGAAATCAGAACCACATTAGAAAAGTAAAGCTCAGGCACTGCATGCACGTGCGACGAAAAACAGTTAGAGCAATGCAACGGCCTGCAGGGGGAAGTGACAATTAACAAGCGCCTACTGGAATATTTCCCTTCCCCGCACCATACGCTACCTCTAGCTTGCTTCAAACACGGCAATTCTTTTCTTTTCTTTTCTTTTCTTTTTTTCAAATTCTTTTCTCTTTTTTGTTTCCACTATCATCAAATCATGGACTCGAGTTAATCCAAGGGAAGGGAATGACAAACACCGATACATGAAAACGGAATTCAGCAACCCGAGAAAAGGACAGTTGATCATCCTTTCCCGTCCAGAAGTCGATTCTTGCCGCTCCATCATACCCTCCCCTTCGAAGCACAGCAAGTAAGACAATCTCTCCTTAAAGGGAGTGACACCGCGTACCTCTTGTGTTGCTCTTATCTGGGGTTAGCGGTACAATGGGGTACTCATAAATCTTGCAAGACTCATGGTTTACTTTAAGGCTGGGAATTGTACTGCTAGCGCCAAATTCGTCGCCATCAGCAGCAGAAAGAAAGTCTCGATTGCTGAGTCTGGTCTGCCTGTCAAGTCCCACTGCATTCTTGTGCTACAACCAGTCAAACCTCTGACACCCTCGACGCCCTGTTTTTTTTTTTTTTTTTTTTTTTTTTTTTGGGTATCTACACACTATAAGATGCTAGACCATGGCCGTTCACTCCAGTCCAGATTCGAGTTCAAGGCGCCATCAACCTCCAGGTACAAGTATTCGATACCTCGACAGTTTTCTCCCCTACCAATAAAAAAGAACTATCTCCCATTTCAGCTCATCTCACCTCCCAATGAATCTCACCTTCTCCGTCCACTGCCCTCTGAAACGCGTCATTGTGTTCTGTCCAATTTCTTACATTCTCGATCCACATCCAAGATATATACAGTAACGGTAAGAAGACCTGCTCCAGGCTAGGTGTGCATGCGAAAACCAGCAGTTATAGGAGTCGGTGGACATGCTCTAATCACCCCTTCGACTCCAGCTATCAGATCTGGCCCATCAACGCCTTGATCAGTGTGCCATTGAACTCCGGCAAACGACAATGCCAAGAGTTGCGCACCTGCCATTATCAGAGGCGGGTTGATCACCGCAGCACCAGCCGCAACAACTCCTACGCCTGCCAGAACTCCAAGCAGCGGGAGCACATTCCGCTTGAGGAAGCGCCTCACCGTTGCCCATGTTCCGGCTCTGGGGGGAACCGGGGGGTTTTCTGCAGTGGCGGGGCCCTTGGTACTGTCCGTCTTGGGCTCGAGATAGCTCAATCTCTGCTCGAAGGCCGACAAGCGCCTACCAATCTCGCTGATCAATTGATTCTCTTGTTCTACCTCCTCCCAGATTCCCTGATACAACTGCTTGTATTCGCCCGTCTTTTGGTCAAAGAGATCTCGCTGGCTGACGCGAAGCCCATGTTGGCAAGTCTCAGATCTGCTGAGCTCGTCCATCAAACGGTTCACCTCCGCTTCACCCTCGTTGAGCTCTTCCCGTGTAAGACCAGAGGCACTAAGTAGCTCAGACCTGAGGTCGTCAAGTTCCTGCTTGACCTTTTGACATCTGTCTTCGTAACGCGCCATCATCTCACGTCCGGCTGAGGTGCTGTCCAGGGGTCGCTTCTCGTCGATCAGTTCGCGTTGGATCTGAAGGACTGGTGGGAAGGTTCTTTGACAGCTCGTCTGAATGACTTCCCGAACAATAGAGCGGGCTGATGCCTCACTTCCGAGCCATCTGTACGATTGGCTGCCGTGCTGGCGCATGGAGCCCCAGAAGTTTGAAGTGTACATGAGTTCTTTCTCTCGGTCACAGGCAGCAAGGTCATCTTTTGGACTGCGCAAGGCACCCCACTTTGTGGTTACCAGAGCAGCGCAGTTCAATGCTTGCGGGCCACACAAAGCTCGAAGCATGTTGAACGTTCTCAGAGCCAATCCGCTGACTCGATTGTCGGTAATGGAATGAAGATAGAGAATGCTTCCTAAGCGAACGTTTCTGAGATGGAGCTGGCCAAGGAAAAAGGCAATGTCCTTCAAAATCTCAACGTCTGAGATTTGAGTGTCGTTAAAGCCAGGAGTATCCGCCACAAAGATTCGCTGGCCATTTTCGACGCAGCTGTAGAGGTCAAGAGAAACGGTGCCTGCATTCAGTGAAATTGTCAGTACTCCGGATTGTGGTGGGATCCTGTATATAATATCAAGCATACCTGCTGTGAGAGTGTGACCAACGCCAGCATTTTCTCCCGTCAATTTTGAGACGAACTGACTTTTCCCGCTGCCTGTCATTCCCATGACGAGAATGACCACATCGGATGGGCCCATTCGATGGCTTGTTCTACGGGCCATGGCTGTAATGATTGGACCAAATAATGGACGAACTGTATTTCCGTTGGTGAATTAGAATTAAACTTAAAGAGACAGCAGAACCAGCTGCAGTGGAAGGAACGTATTTGGTGTCAGAATGGTCAGACCTGGGTTAGGTGAGAGATGGGGTCTGTAACATATCAGAAACAAGAAGCTGGGAACTGACGACTGACCGATTCAATGCTGACATTTTGTAACCTTAACATATGAAGAGTCTGGTAGTGGACTTGAGCCGCATTGCGGGGATTTGGTGTTCCCCAGTTGAGCTAACACTCCAAAGCCTTATCCACCACCCACCTTTGTCGAGGGGGCGGGCTGAGTTGGGCATCATCGTTGAGTAGCATTATGCAAGTGCTTTTTGAGCCGCAGTTGCGTGGAACAATCCACACCAATACGCTGTGCCTTACAGCTGCCGGCTTGCAGGTTTTCAAACTATGGAGCAACCATCCAACTCCCCTGACCCAATCAGCCGCGACGCATCAAGATAAAAACGAGGCTTGCGAGTGGTGGGAGCGTTGGGATTGACGGATGGTATAAGCAGGCTGTGAAAAAGACCTGAGAAAAAAGGTAATTGTTGCATCTTGGACGTTCTTGTACCAAAGCATGATTGGCCTTTGGCATGCGCTCGCTGCAGCTATTGCGTAACGAGCTTTTGGGTTTGAAATCAGGCAGTTGGCAGCCTGACAGAGCCTTGCTCTGCTTGACACAGACTCGGACAGCTTCTCCGAGCGATTTGACTTGTCCCTGGAGACTTGCATAATAACCCGCCAGGACGGCTCACTTTTCACAAATTCTTCAACGATTAACTTTGCGCCATGCGTTCATGAGGCTCTGCTCTGCTTCCTTCGTTTCCACTTGGACACCTTTCATACTGTATATTGCGTAACAGTCGCCAGGCTGCCGATCCATCATGTCGACCATCAGCGAGTCTCAACATGCCACGAAGTTTGACCCTCGTCCCACAGATATCATTGTGGCGGTGATGGGAATGACTGGCTCAGGCAAAAGCACATTCATCTCCCATTGCATGGGGGTGGATCTCGGCATTGTTGGCCACGGTCTCCAAGGATGTGAGTGCAGTTGCCAAAAGAAAACTCTGTACTGATTGCTATGACTGACGCTCTTCTTGTTTGCAAGACACACAAGCGGTGGACTGCTATATGTTCCGTCATTCAGAGTCCGTCAACGTGTATCTCGTTGACACGCCCGGCTTTGACGACACCAACCTCACAGACAGCGATGTGCTCAAGGCCATCGGTACCTGGATGGGTGATACGTACTCGAAGGACATCAAGCTCAACGGCATCATATACTTGCACCGGATCACTGATCCTCGTATGGTAGGGTCAGCCAAGAAGAATCTCATCATTTTCAAGAAGCTGTGTGGGCAAGATGCTCTCAAAAACGTCACTCTGGCCACCACGATGTGGGAGGCTGTCCCGCAATCAGATGGCGAACGCCGAGAGCACGAACTGCTTGAAACCCAAGATTTCTGGGGCTACATGCGGTCAAACGGTGCCAAAGTGGAAAGACACTACAACAACCGAGAGTCTGCCCTGCAAATCCTCAGCAAGTTCTTCACAGAAGAACAAGTTGTCACTGCCATGCAAGAGGAACTCGTGAATGGCAAGAAGAAGTTGTCGGACACCGAAGCTGGCATGGAGTTGAACAGCGAGTATCGCAAGTTGGAAGAGAAACTGAATAGGCAGTTGCAGGATAGAATGGACGAACTTGAGGAGGCACAGAAGAAGAAGGATTACGAAAGTACAGTGTTTCTGAAGGAATGTCGGAAACAGCTAAACGACCAGCTTGCGCAGGTTTCGCAGCAGCGGGAAGATCTGAACGTGACACTGGCCAAGATGCTCGCCACCAGCACCTTTCCCATTGTTCGCGCGCCAGGGGGTTTTGATAGTAGTGCCAGGAGGCCCAGCTACACTGGTAACGCAGGCCAAGCAGAAGCAGGAAGGTTGTTAAACCCATACCTGGACCCGAGAGCATCCGGTGTGTGTCAGGGCGTCGAAGTGCCCGCCAGAGGCAGATCGCCAGCACCACCATACCCGCCAGATGAGCAACCTATCCACAGATGGTTAGTTTCATGAAGGATGGGAGATGGAGTAGCAATTCCCGTGAACGTTCGTGGCTAATTGTTGGAATATGTAGTGATCGATCTCCCGCACCCAGTGAAACAGGGCGTGCGCCAAGAAGGCGGGATTTGCTGAGGGCAATGCTCGGAAGAGGACCAAAATTGGTAGTATCGGGACAGTAGAGGCGGGTGTAGGAGAAGTCGGCGTTGTTCCGGTGGAAGTGTTGTGCGTTGGCATGAATATATTGTAGGAGGTGCGGTGCGTTTTGGCTTTTGTCATTTGCTTGGTCTTGGTGACAAGGAAAAAGAGATTCAGAACGAAGAGGAGATGTGGCTGAAGGAAGAAACTGAACTGTTCTGTGTTGGGAAGCATCCGCCATGACCTTGAAGAACCATAACGACGAGCCGTGACGTATGACCGTGAAGTGAACCTTCGTGCTTGCCAAACTTGTAATGATGAACTTCATCAAGAGCAAGCACTCATCACCAAGGTCTCTTGAAATTCAGGCAACACTCCTTCCATCCGAGTTCGACGCTCCGTCGTTCCTTCACTGTCGTCGAAAGTGGAGTTCTGCCAAGCGATAATGACAGAACGGAAAGCAGTCGTCCCTTTAACTCAGACCATGATCCTTGCGAGTCTCAACGCTTGGCAAATCAGAGACTCCGGAGTGTGCGACGACGGCAGGCGAGACGAACCATCAATCGTCCATCAGCACTAAATGGAAGCCAGGACTGTGGCAGCAAGTGCGGGGTGAAGAAGTTCAGCTGTCACTCGGGGGCAAGAGAGAAAGGAAAAAGGGGGGAAACGAGGACGTAAAAAGAGGTGGAAAGGGTCAGAAGCAGAGCTGCCATATAATGAAAACACAAGAGCCACATATCAACAAACCAACCAAAAAATAAACAGAATTAGTAACACATGCCACCTGTAATCCAACAGGAACGCCAAAGGGACATAAGATACCTACAAGTATTCGTACATTACCTCTTCTCCTTCCACCACCCACTCACTTCGACAAGAACTTTTGAAAAGCCGACTGGTCAATAATCACGTTACCCACCGCCCTCAACCTCTTCCTGCCCGCCTTCTGCTTCTCCAACAGCTTCCTGCGTCTTGTGATATCACTAGCATGCAGCTTAGCCAACACGTCCTTCCTGAACGGCTTGATGGTCTCACGGGCAACGATGCGGCGGCCGGCGGCGGCTTGAATAATCACCTCTGTTTACGTTGTTAGCACATTTCTTTGACAGGATCCCCAAGATCGAGCGAAGCGAGGAAAGAAAAAAAAAAGAACAAAAAAAGAAAAAAAAAAAAGGAAAGGGAGAAAGGAAACTCACCAAACATCTGCCGATCCACATGCTCCTTGAACTTGGTAACCCACTGCCTCCCCAACCTCTCCACCTGACTAACATGGACGATCCTCGCCACGGCATCCACCGCCTTCTTATTCACCAACAAATTCAGCTTCACCAGCTGCGCCTGCCTCCACCCCGCATCTTCATAATCCAGCGTCGCATACCCCTTCGTCGCGCCCTTCAGCTTGCCAAAGAGATCATCGACCAGCGAAGCAGCGGGAAGCTCGTACTTGAGAATGACCTGCGTGGCAGTGAAGAACTCGAGCGACTTTTGCACGCCGCGCGCGTTCTCGCAGATTTCGATACACCGACCTACGTACTCCTCTGGTAGCGTGACGGTGGCGTTGACAAAGGGCTCGTACAAAGTGGCGGAGCGGATGCGGTGGTCGTCTGGGTCGGGGAATTCGGCGGGGTTGGTGACGATGAGTTCTTCGCCGGTGGACCAAATGATCTTTGTAGGGACGGCCGGCTCGGTGATGATGATGCTGGCGCCGTGTTCCTGACGCAAGCGGTCTTGGAAGACGGAGCAGTGGAGAGAGCCCAAGAAGCCCAGACGCCAGCCGGCACCCAGGGCCTCGGAGTAGTCCTTTTGCAAAGTGACGGAACGGTCGTTGAGCACGAGGTGGGCGATGGAGTCGGCCAAGCGGCCGTAGTCATCCTGGTTGGTGGGGAAAGCGGCGACGAAGACCATGGGTTTGGGCTCCTCAAAGCCGGGCAACGGCTCGACGGTGTCTTCGCATCCGACGTTGGTAAAGGTATCGCCTAATTTGGCGTCTTGAATGCGCTTCATGCCGGGGTTGAAGAAGACGTAGCCGACTTGGCCTGCCCTCAACACCTTTTGCGGGACGGCGTCTGGGTACTGGATGCCAACTTCGCCGACAATGTACTCGTTGCCCGTGGCGAAGGAGTAGACCTTGTCGCCCTGCTTGAGCGTGCCGTCAAACAGGCGGACGAGCAAGACGACGCCCTTGAAGGTGTCGTACCACGAGTCCACCAGGAGCATGCGCAGCGGCTTCTTGGCGTCGCCGACGGGAGCCGGCACGTTAGAAATGACCGCAGGCAAGATCTCGCCCACGCCTTGACCGGTCTTGGCGCTGACCTTGACGGCCGTCGAGGTATCCAGCTCAAAGACGGTTTCCAACTGTTCCAGCACGCGCGGCACGTCGGCGCTGGCCATGTCGATCTTGTTGACGACGGGCACCAGAGACAAACCCTGCGCAAAGGCGAGGTAAAAGTTAGCGACCGTCTGCGCCTGCACACCCTGCGAGGCGTCGACCAGCAACAGGGCGCCGCTGCACGACGAGTAGGAGCGTGTCACTTCGGCGCGGAAGTCGACGTGGCCTGGGGTATCGACCAGGTGGAGAAGGTAATCGAGGCCGTCTCTGTGCTTGTAAATCATGGTGCATGTCTGCGCCTTGACGGTGATGCCGCGCTCGCGCTCGACGTCGAGCTTATCCAAGACTTGCTTGTTTCCATCGCCGGCCGTGATGGTTCCCGTATGCTCCAACAGTCGATCGGAAAGTGTGCTCTTGCCATGGTCGATGTGGGCGACGATACAGAAGTTTCGGTAGCGCTCGAGCGGAATGGCGGCAATTCGTTTCTCGATCTCGATCGCCTTCCTCTCGAGGGGCATCTGGGAGGTAGCAGTCGTGCTGTTGTGTCTCGCGAGAACGGGGGCGGTCGTCGGGAGGAGTTGGGAGCTGCTGAGCGATCTCAGAGCTGGAAAGCGTCTGGTTCGGTCATTCTGGCGCGATTCGAGGCTAGCCAGCGAGGAAAAGCCAGCACTACCCGGCGATGTCCCGGGTGGTTGTTGACATGATGTTGTGATATACAAGGGAAGACGGCGGCTAGGAGGCAGACGAGGCAGACGCGCGCAAGGCCTCAGACATGGCCGCATCAGAACGTCGGGACGACAGAGCGCGCCACGCATTCAATTGGACGTCACCGGGTCATGAAAGGAAAGTGGCAGGCAGAAATCGGTATGGCTTGGTCGCAAAATGAATCGCGACTTTGCACTTTTTGGGAGGAGAGAGTGACGGAACAAAGGCCTGGGATAGGTACAGTGGCCCACTGCGAATCCTCCGAGTCTGGACGCTGGTCTGGTGCCGCCGAGTCCCAAAATTCGTCCCCGCTTCCAAAAATCCCCGAGCTCTTATCTTATCGGACCCTGATACTCGGTACTAGTAAGTCACCAATTCAGGTACAGGTACTTTGCGAGCTTCGAAACACGGCGCAATAAGCGAGGCGTATGAGAAAATGGAAGTATCCGTACGTTTGCTCGGCTGATATCCGAGCTCCCCCAGCACCTTTTGTGTATGAGCAGGTACCTTTAGTGTAAACAAACCACCCCTTTACAAAGACAACAGCCCAACTGCGAGACATGCTTAGGTTGATATTGTTACTCTCTTCACTCCCGTCTGCTTCACTTCGAGAATATCTAATGCAAACGTGATTCTTTGTCAAAGGCGCTTTACATAAACAGTCATATCTCACAAACACCGTGACCCTTTGATGCTACTTTATTTCCACTTCCAAGTCTCTGTTTGCTCTGCTTCTACCAATAGCTCCCAGTCCCTTCCACTTGATCTAGGTAATCATGACCACCATTGACCGCACCAAGCCTCATCCGCCAGATTTCCAACCCACTTTCCGCTCGTCACCAAAAGCTTGCTTCATCCCAATCCTTTTGCTCTTTCTCATTTTTCCTCATGATTATGTATAACATTTCAAGCAGTATAGGTATCAAGAAGAAACACAACAAACAAACAACAACAACAACAACAGCGATAAAAACACATATGTCCACGGTGTGTAAAGTTGGAACAGACAAGCCAAGCCAACCGGGGCTTCGCACATCCCACCCGTCCGTCCGTCCGTCCGTCCGTCCGTCCGTCCCACGCATTCCAATCCGTTCCCATCACCCCGTCCATCCACCCACCCATACCTTCCCTGTCCTCCCAGTTTTCTCCCTCCTCCCATTGTACCTCACCCTGGCAATCCTTTCCATCTATACACAGTACTCCAACACCCACGCTGTCATCAAACCCACGGATACGAGTAAAGTATATCGACACTCCCTTCCCCACTGCTTCTCTTATGCTTGGGTCCTGCCTCCTAAACAAGCACCCACTCGCTTCCTCTCTTGAGGAACTTGTCCAGCATCAGCGTGAGGTCTGACAAGACGAACCGACAAATGTAGAGGGCAAAGAATTCCGCCGCATGCCTAGTGCTGAGCTCGAGTCCCACCTGCGTCTTGTCGGCGTGTCGGAGGCCTGGGTCTTCAACTTGGCGAGCGATTTGGTCTGTTTTTGTTTTTTTTTCCTTTGTTAGCAAATTGGCAAAGGGAAAGATAGCTTGAAGGGAGGGGGGAAAGAGGGAAAGGGCCAGAATAAATAAACATACCAACTAATTGAGCCGCATCAAACAATCTCGCCAACGAGCTCATATAATTCGCATTAGGCCCCTGAAACAGCACGTTTCCTACGTCTCTCTTCATCGGTCGGTTCGTCGGGTGCGTCGTCATCGGCAGACTAGGGCAGATGATATCCTTCCCTGCTCCCTCAATGGGCGTCGACGCCACGTTACCACTGGTCCCACCAGCACCACTGCTTCCCTTGCCTGCACTGGTCAGGTTCGCTGAGCTGTTTTTGCTTCGCAACCTCCTCCACGAGAAAGCGCTCGTCTTGGCGCTCACGCTGGCTGACCGTGGCAAGGACCCATCCTCCGCGTGTACTGGGTCCTTGAACGAGGTGGCGTGGGGTCCGACTTCGCTGGCGCCAAGCTTCTTGACTAGGAACTTCTCGACGGACTCGATCACCGTTTCGAGAGCTTGCATCTCCTCCAACACGGCGTCCGCATCGCACGTGTCCACCCTGGCAAGCTTCTGTAGTGCGGCAGTCATCAGATCACACTGCGAGATCTTCTCTTCGACGTACTTGAGTTTTACACCCTTGACTCTCCACACGTCCCGTGGGACAAACAGTTTGTTGCTGATGTATCCTCCGCGTGGGTGGCAGAGGGTCTGGTACAGACAGCGCATAAGCCAGAACGGTCGGAGCAAAACATCGCTCGGGCAAGGCTCGAGTGGTGCTGGCGCATCAGCGAGCGTTCCGTTCGGCGATCCAGGATCATTGGCAGAGTGGAACTCGGCATCAAACAGATACATGCCCGCTGTTCCGACAACTGTGTCCGCCCTTTCTCGGAACGATCCAGCTATCGGTGTCGGCATGGATGGAATTGATGGCAGGCGGGTTGTTGAGCCACTGATGCCAAACGGATTACTCACCGGTGTGCCAGGAGACATATCAAATACATCATCATTATGCGACACAGAAAGCTTCCGATGCGCGCTCCGCAAGCTCGATGAAGAAAAGGTCTTCTTCAGACTAGGCCGACCAACCGAGGGAGACCCTGCGCGAGGCGGGTAGTCGTCCTGCAAGTGAGACGGCAAAGGAGGAGCTCCCCCTTCTCCCATGGATGGGGAAACCACACGCCGGGCG